AGTATTATTTCCTATTTAAAAGGATTTACCCATAGATTTTTCCACGGAGTTCCCCACCATCAGGTTTATCCATCACATTTAAATATCACTTCACAGATCTAAGCTACATGATAAAAAGACTAAGAAACCAAGGACCTTAGAAATAAAATTAGAAGTTACTGCCCACTGAAAATCAAATATAGATGGAAAAAATCTTCCAGAAAATTAAGGAACTTTGGATTGAGACTGTAAACCATGTGTCAGTCAGTTTATGTTTTAATCTCTATTTTCACCAATATTTAGCAATCAAATATTTACTATTTAATCAATATGTCCCACTATTGGATAATAATAAATATTTAACATATATTTTCAAACTTCTAAGAGCACAGTTACTTCTTTTCTGAAACAAGCCCCAGCCGAAATAAATTCTATCAGATTTTAAAATCGCTTTCTTCCTTAACACGTCCTTATAGAGTCATTTAATACACGCCACAGAAGGCCTGGTGATAAAATAAGCCCCCTGCCACCAAATACATTCAAACAGAAGGACTCTCTGCTCATTTGGGGCATTACTGTTTCCAGAGACCTGTCACCTTACAGTCACCTTCGCCCCGCCCCGTGAGCTGGGCACGACCTCAACTTATAGACCAGGTGACCTGTTGATGTTGCCATGGCAACTGGCCCCAGGCCACGGCTGCTGGGCCATGGACCCAGGACAGAAACCCTGGCTGGCCCTGGTGACCACCCCGAGACATGGCCAAGGTCAGGGAGAGAGGCTGCAGCAGCAACCCCGCTGGGTGGGAGGCAAGACAGGTTGATTCTAATTCTAAGTAGTACGGCCTGTGCAACAGGAGTCAGGGAGAACCTTTGGGGATCCCTTTCTAACTTTATCTTTGGGAAACAGATGCTTAAAGTGCTTCCTGGCTTGAAATGAAAGGATACTCTGCTCAGACGACCCCCCCCCCCACCACCACCACCACACTGAGTTCTCCTGACATTCCAGCCCTCCTCCAGCACAGAGGGTCTGAGCCCCCCGGGCGACAGCACAGGAGGGGCTGGGCCAGAAGCTCAGCTCCCAGTCCCCTGCCCGCAAGGAGGCTCCTGCTATTTTAAACAGGTTTAGTTCTTTGGTGTAGCTCCAAGTCTTTGCATGGGGTAACGCCACACACTAGTGTTATTTACGTTGCTATTTAGTGTTTCAGCTTTTTCTTTTTTTGAAGGAAAACTTTAACTTAGACAAATTAGAAGACCACTTGGAAGAACTAGGTCTCCCTCACCGAGCGTCCAGCAGAGTCCTCTGGGGCCTCTCTTTCATCCATTTCACCACCTTCCCCCACTTCAAGGCTTTAAAAAAAGAAAGAAAAAACCCAGATGTCCTATCATGTCATCTGTAAATATTTCCTTCTGTATCTCTAAAATACAAGAGCTCTTTTCTAAAACAGGACCACCATACCATCATCACACTAAAAACAAATGAATTGTAATTTCTGAAGTGTATCGAATACCCAGTCAGGGTTCAATGTCCTGGGGTGGACTCATGGATTTTTTTTTTTTTTTTTAATATTGGTTTATTTGAACCAGCATCCAAACAAGCCGTCCCACTTTTCACTGGCTTCTTCGTATTCATCCCAAAGATCTCAGTTTAGGCATTGCTTCCTTCTGGCAGCTTCCCTGATCCCAAATGCCTGGGAGGTCTGTCCTCTGTTGTCTCACACAGACAGGTTCACCGCTCCCTAACCCTCGCCGTTCCTTCACAGTCAGAGACAGACCACGAGGTCTAGGAGGGTGGAAAGGGTCCACATGTGTGCCCTGTGCCAAGCACAGTGCCTGGCCAGAAGTATGCACCAGCTCGGCATGGGGCCAACAACTACGTGAGTAGAGGGATTGCTGAATGAATTAAGGACATGGTTTTTCCACTTCAAGTCCTATCTGTGTGCTTTTGGCTCCGAAGCCTTTCCTCTCTGGGTCTCATTTATCTCATCTCTATAATGAAGAATTTGGATTCACGATTCCTAAGTCTTTGGAGGGTATAATTTGTGATTCTGAGTAGGGGCCCAGCATGGCGGGGGGAGTCCCCATTTGCCATGCACTTGCTGCCCTCTGCTGGTGGGATGGAGGCAGGACTCCGTTATCCCTGATTTTCCTGAAAGAACTACAAGGAGGCAAAGGTCCAGATGGGTGGACGGTCTGTCCGTGGGGTGGGGACTTGAATTTCATTGCCTCACCAGGGGTTGATTAAAATGTGCAGGTATGAGCCTCCCTCCACCTCACCGGCCACTCCTCCTGTGGGAGGGATCCCTGGGGTAGAATGCAGAAGGACTAAGGCAGTGAGAGGTCTCACCCCAAGGCTCCTGTTATAACTGCTGGGGTGGGGCTTGGGCAGGGGCTTCAGAAGAAGATCTGGTGCCCAGGCCCCACTTCAAACCAACAGACGACTCCCGCAGGGCAAGGCTCAACTATCCTTCTGTATTGAAAGCCGTCCCACCGCTTCTACTCCTCAGCCACATTGAGAACCACTCGACCAAGCGGAGAGTTACATGTGTGTCTTGAGCCAAAAGTTTAGAGGCACAGCAGAAAGCTCATCCACAGGAAGAATAAATGAAGACTCTGCCTTTATAAGAGCAAACTCCTTTAGGCTGCTTCTAGAAGTTTTCTTTCTCTGACAAATGCTGATTGCTTCTAAATCACAAATTTTGTTTGGGGAACCGATAGCATTTACCGCTAGGGACGCCGCTTGCAGATGGTTTTCTTTTTCTTTTTGAGATTTAGTTCTACATTTTGGTGCACGGTACTACTGTTTCTTTTTATTTCTTTATTTTTAACTTTTTAAAGATCTTATTTGAGAGAGAGAGAGAGAGAGAGAGAGAGAGACGGGTCACAAGTAGGCAGAGAGAAGGAGGGGGTAGCAGGCTCCCTGCTGAGCAGAGAGCCCGATGCGGGGCTCGATCCCAGGACCCTGGGATCATGACCTGAGCCAAAGGCAGAGGCTTTAACCCATAGTTTATAGCCATAACCTATTTATTTATTTTTTTAAACATTTTCTGCACTTGTTAAGTCTCCTTTGTTTGCAGGTAACAGAATTCAGCTGTTGTTAACTGAGGCCATGAACAAGAAAGTGTTTTAAGAGCCAGGATCCACCACCCACGGGGGCTACTGGCACACACACTGGAAATGGTCTCTCTCTGTCGTTTGCCTCTGCTTCTCTCTGCACATTTAATTCATTCCTTCTTTCTCAAAGCCAACTGGAATTTTCTGCTCATTCATCCACAAGGAAGAACATGGTCACCAACAGGTCATGACTCCCTTATGTTCAGTTCCCACCTGCTGGAGGCAAAACTTTTTCTCTGCACTAGATTTAAATTCCCAGACTGGTGCCCTGCAGTCAGAGGCTCACTCTCGGGCCAATCAACCGTGGCCTGTACGGCCAACTCTGCGGTCGGAAACCATGGGGCCCCTCACTGAAAAGGCAGGGTAAAGTGCCATTAACGGGAGATATGAAGGTTCTCCCTTTTTTCTTCTTCTTTAGCATGAGTCCTACAATTCACCTATATATCACGCAATGCCAGTTTTAAATGTAAATATCAGAGCATGTAGCGTACGTGCAGAATCAATGAAATTATGCAATTTGTATCTTGTGATTCATGGGCCAGAAGAAATAAGCACGAATCAAACTAAGCATTAGAAAGAAGACAGGGGTGCCAGGCTCCCCCAAGGAGGCACTCCCCCATGCATGGGGTACTGTGTGGGCTGGGGAGCCAGACCCACACATGTGTTTGGGGGCCCTGCCCTGTCCTGCTAGCCACTAGCCTCAGGGAGGGCAGCCGTGTGGCCAGCTGCAGGCCTGTGAAGGGCTCCCTGACGGGGAGCAAGGCCGCTCGGGGCCCATCCGTGGACAGCTGGGGGCCGCAGCCTGGACTTGCCCCCCAGTGCTGCCCTCTGTTGCTCTGGGAGGGGAGGTCAGAGGAAGCCAACCTCCAAGCTGGGGAGGGCTCTTGCATCAGCACTATCTGCTTGAAAGAAAGGAGGCAGTCTCCTACCAAGCAGGTGACCCCCTCTGGCTCCCTAGGGAATGGGGTGAGAGAGATTTGGGGAAACCCAGCAGAGCCACGAAAAAGCCTCCGTGACCCCATTCTAACCAATCCTCCCACAACATCCTGCTCCCTAGCTCCCATCCCAGGTGTCCCTCCTCCCCAGGCCGGGGGGAGAGGAGGGTGACAGTGTCACCCCAGTGGGCAATGTCCAAGGGACTCCGGGGTCCCCCCAACACAGGACGCTGGGTCATGCTTCTCCACACCTTCGCCCTTGATCTAATCCGTATTTCCTGACCTTTCCTGATCTGACCGAAGAACAAAGTCTCCTTGCCTTCGTTTGTATTTTTCATCACAGGCAACTTTATTTCTCCTTCTAGGTTCTACTTGTTCATATCCTTTGGCCATTTTCCTAATGAGTTTCTGTCCTTCCTGACTTAGAATAGCTCTTTGGGTTTTGTCACTACACGTCTTTTACATCACTGGACCTTTTTTTGCCTTTTCTGCGATTTCCCGCTGCATCTTTTAACTCTGTGATGTGCCCGTTACCGCCCCCGTGGCCGCCCCTCACCCAAGGCTCAATCTTCTCATCTGAGAGATGGGAGAACGGCTGCCTCGTGGGTCTACAGGGAGGATTAATCCAGGTCGTGTCTATGCGACATGTAGCTACCAAGCCCCTCTCTCTCCATAAACGCTCACAGCCGCACCTACTGCCGTGATGTTAGAGCCAAACTTCTCTGTAGGACATTTCGAGGTCCCCAAGGCCCAGGCTGGCCCGGCTGGTCCATGAGAACATACAGCACCACAGCCCAAGTCCGAGGCAGCACACGGGGTGCTGACCTAACACTGTGTGGACCGCACTGCCTGCATTTTGCCCAGTCTCCACTTACCACTCTCCATTCAGCAGGACCCTAAAGCTAATGGAGAAGCCAGAAAGCTGCAGGGCTCCATGTAACTCACCTTTCTTCCTCTGTCATGACCCCCCACCAGCCGGCCCCTGACTACAGCAGCTTCCAGGAAGGCCTGCCCTACCTGGACATGGTGATCGCAGAGACTTTGCGGATTTACCCACCGGCTTTCAGGTACGCCTGCGCTGCCCCCCTTCCTTCCCCTACTCAGCCCCCCCGCACCCCAAAGCCCTTTCGAGGCATCACCATCTAAGCCCGTCACTAGTCCTCAGTCTATCACCACCTGCAGTATCAAGAATGCTGGACTTAGGCTCCTGGAGGACAAGGTCTGAGTCCTGGGTTTCTCAGGTTTCGGTGCCTTCCACAGAGTGACCGCGGCAGTAAATGTCTGGCTCATTTTCCTCTACGTGAACTACCTTCTTGAACTGTCACCGGTCTGTTCTTCACATGACCTTCCTCCCCAGCCCAAGCCAGTCTCCTTGGCCCCCAGGCTTGAATGGCGTTTGCAGGTCCCCCTGCTTGCGGGTCCATTCATCCATTCTTCTATTTGGTAACTATTTATTGAGCCGAATGCTGTGCCACGCACGGCGCAATCAGCCGCGCACAAAACAGATAAAACCCCTGCCCTTGGAGTTGACGTTCCAGGGGGAACCTTCCAAGGCCTGGGAGGCCTCTCTTCACTCTCCAGCTACCCACCCCTGCCCCGTCCTTGGAGCTCCAGCCCGACACTCGCTACCCCATGCAGTCTGCCCCTCGTCCCCCAGCATTTTCCAGAAGACTGAACTTCCTATTATGTTCCTTCTCACCCGCTCTGCAACATCTCACCCGTGGACACCCGCTCACACCAACCTGCAAGTGCCTCGAGAGCAGGAATCTGGTCTTCTGCTTCTTTCCAACTCCCCCTAAATGAGGCATTCCATGGAGCACAGGGTCTTAACCGGGGCCCTCATGCCCACAGGGTGGGAAACAGTGGCCAGATTTCAGGTTCTAGAAACAGAAGCGACAAAAGCATTTAACCTATCCCAAGTTCCACTCTGCATGTCTATAAATTAATACACTCCATCAACCATATAGAGGTAGACTTTGTCATTCTAAAAGAGAAAATGTGGATGCTTTGAAGGTATCTCATTATATTCCAAACCAAAAACATCACAGAGAGTGTGATCATAGATATTGTCCAAAGTGTTCGGACCCGGAGCAAACAGAATTCCAGAGACGTGAGTGGAACCACATGGTCCTCAAGCACACCGGGTATCAGTCCCCTGCTCTCGGAGCAGCCAGGACACCAAGACCTGCCTTGCCGCTCTCCTGGTGCAGACATGAAGACAAATTCTATGGGCCTTCCCTGATTTCCTTGGGAGCCGCAGAGCACGCTGTCATCCAATCTTTGTATTTTAGTGATTTACATCCAGCTTCCTTCCAAGGGAGAGTGGGCAGCTGGTGTCCACATTAAAGCGAAGCTCAAAGTAAGACTCATTCAGTGATGGAACAAAGGCCGTCCAAGGGGAAGAAGGCTTTACGGGACCCCAGAGATGGCTGATAACTGGGGTCAGGTCCCCACCGCGGCTCCTCCTGGAGAGAAAAACCAGCAGAGTCAAACCGCTGCATTCTCCAGCGGGAGGAAAGTCTATACAGTGGTCAAAGCCAGGTCCCTTCCTAGACCTAAACCCAATCAAGAACTCATCACGTAAGACCTTGTAGAGGGGATGCGTTGAGTGACGAAGTGAACAGGCTCTTCAACACCCAAATGCTCTGATCGATTCTCCGAGGGACGCCTAGAAACTTCAGAAACAGTACCGCATAAAGGCGGCCAGCAGAGGCACGGCTCCCGGGAACCAGCCGCGGGTGGTCTCACGTGAAGGCAGGACACAGACGAGGGAACTGGGATAAATTGATTGACTCCCTCCTCAACCCACCTCGAGTGCCAGTGGTCCAAAACCGCAGAACAGACTGAGACAGAAAGTCGAGACAGTCTCACACGCCGACCTCTTGCTGGCTGTGTGACCTCAGGTAAGCACCGTGCTGCTCTGGGCTTCAGCTTCCAGGGCGTTCAGTGGGCACGTAACTCCTGCTCGTGCCCCCACACGAGTGGAGAGAAACAGTGGGACAGAACGGCTGAAACGCCGTACACTCGAAGTCTCGCATCACGTATGAGGGGGAAAGCAAGAAGGACTGTCCTTCCAGTCGAATGGCCAACCTCCGGCCAACTCTGGTCCTGACAAGACACGATTTCCTGGGCCTCACCCTCCTCCATACTCACTATGCTGGAATTTTTAATCCTATCAACTCTGCAGACTTCTGCTGTCAAACAACAGAAAGGCGAGAGAGAAGCCATCACTCTTCTCAGCCAAACGAGAGGCCAATTTGCTTCAGCCCAGACAACAGATACGGAGGCGAATACAGATAGAATGCGAATTTATTTATTTTATTCTACTTTATTATTTTCATCTCAGAAAAGTGTGCTGGCTTTTCCTAAGCCCTGACGCACGTGGACTGATTACCATTATCCACCAAAAAAAAAAAAAAAAAAATCCCCTCAGAATGGCCCCTGTGTAAAACACACCAACTCTTGCTGAAGTGTTATCAGTGTGAATCCAGGATTCCAGGCGGTATAACTCAGCAGATTTTTCTGGCCTTGGATATGGCCTGCCCTAGCCGGACGGGAGGCCCAACCACATACAGAAGGAAAGGCCCTATTTTCCGGTTTCCAGGGGCCTTGGATCCAGGTCCAAGAAATTTCCAGTAAAGATGAAAAAGAAGAGGACTTTGGAAAATGACCCCTTTAGAACCAAGGCCGATTTGAGCACTGGTGTTTCACTACCAGATCCAAGCACGTATTAGCTGCGTTGGTAGCTCAGGATCTGAAAGGGGGGGGTTTCCCCAGTCCTGGCCTCTCCTGTTACATTAAAGGCCCCTGACGGAGTGATGAAGGCTGCTGGGAGCCTCGGGTTGCTCTTCATTTCTTTTATAAGCGAGAACAGAATATAATGGTAATTAGTATAATAATTTATCTCCTCTAAGATATCTAGGAAAGTCCAGTCTTTACAATCTGAAGTAAAAGCCAGCATAATTTTTAATTTTTAAAGTGATGACCTGCATTACAAAAATAATAGTCTTATGCTATAAGAAAAAAACAACAACCAAAAACAAAAACCCCTAAACAATACAGAAAGATCTAAAGAAAAAGTTGGCATCTCTAATCCCCTGCCGTCCTCGACCCCAGTCCCATCCCTTAGAAGAAATCATGGTGGAAGTTCAAGTATTCTTCCAGAAATTGTATATTTGTGTGCAAACATCTATAGTCTGGCTCTTAAAAACACAACATAAAAAGGATTGTGCTGTGGCATTTGGTAACCAATCTGACCAGCAGTTTTGCCCTCAAGTGGAAGTTATCCATAGTGACGCAGACAAGGAACAGAGATCAGAGGTTCAAACTCAAGTTTCCTTTAAGTAAAGCGAGGGGGCGGGTGAGGGCCATTTGAAGAGGCTTGCCCATGGACGGAAGATGAGGGAAAGTGTGGCCAGCGTCATAACCTTACAACCCCCGCCCCCTGCAGGGAGAAGCCCTTCGGAGGTACCCCTGCTCCCCTAATCAGGCCTAAGAAAAGCTCTTCAGGCTTGATGGATGAATGCATTTTCACTGAGGGCCAAAGGAGTCTAAGAGCTTGGAGGCTGCAGGGCCATGGGCAGTGCAAGGTTGCAGGGGGGCAGGGGGTGGTAGAAACCATTGCCAGAGAGCTGGGCTTCCTTCCCCCCCACCCCCTTTCCACACTTCAGGCTCAAACCCCATTTTGCCCCAGTATGCCGCCAGCAAGCTCTCCTCGTTGCTGCTGTGCCTCAAGGCAGGGGTGACCGACTTGTCCCCACAGGTTCACGCGGGAGGCAGCGCGGGATTGCGAGGTGCAGGGGCAGCGCATCCCGGCGGGCACCGTGGTGGAGGTGGCCGTGGGCGCCCTGCATCATGACCCCGAGTACTGGCCACACCCCGAGACCTTCAACCCGGAAAGGTGAGCTCAGTCCCTTCACATGGGCGACTCGAGGGTAAAGCACTTAGAGGTGGCCAAGGGGAGACAAGGATTTAGTAAAGCTGTCCCCAGACAGTTGAAAGTCATGGCCATTAAACACATGAGAGACATAATTTCTAAAGGAAATTAACTGTACCATGTTTAAAAGCCCTGAACAGAATACAGAGATTTCACATCTCAGCAGCCCTGCATGCAAGTAACAGGGCAATTTCTAACGGGGGGTCCTCTGTCCCAGCCAAGAAACAGGACACACAACCAGATTTCAGTTGTGCACTGGAATGTAACAAAACATCATTTCCTTTTTTAAAAATTGGAGCTTGTTCCAAAACAAGAGCCATCAACAAATTTCTCCCCGATTTCATGAGACCCAGCTGTGCTCTCAAGGTAGCCCTAGATCCCCGCTCCTGTCCCCTGTGTGGATCTGGTCCCTTGTCTACATTTCATTTCTAGGCTCCCGGATTGAAAATGTCTGAGCAGGCATCCACACCCTTCTCCTCGGAATCGATGGATATCCCTTCCTTGGCCTGATCTGACAATGGGGAGGGCCAGGCAGGCAGACACTGTTTCCACCTTCAGGAATTTCAAATTCCCGTGAAAAAGAGGTCCCAACCCTCCCACCCCACCCCAGGGTCGGGGCGGCGGGGAAGCGGAGGGCAGCAGGACCTAGATCAATTCATACGCTGCGGAACACAGGGGACCCCAGGCACCAGGGCTGCAGCCGAAGTGAGCGGGCTGTTAGGAGACAGTGGTGGACACCCAGCTCTACTGTCCTGGAGCACAGGTGACAGATGCTATGTGACAGCAGGGAGGACAATTCCTGTAGTGGTTCAAAGACAAAAAGCCCCCAGTGGTTCCAGTTTCAACGCTTGAGGCAAGTGTGGGCAGAGGAGATGGTGGCCCAGTATGGCCTCCAAGGCTAAACCGGCAGGAGGTGGCCTGGAGGGCTAGTGCCCAGGGCTTCTGCTTAGGGGGCTGGTGGCCGCTGGTGTCCTGCTGGGGCTTCTGGGGAATTTGGAGCCACAGGCTCAAGTGAGGGCTGTGGATTCCTGACTTTGATCCCAGTGGATCCCAGTGAGCCTTCACATCCATTAACACAATTAGTTCTTAAGGGGAGAGGGAGGGCCAAGAGGGCCTTCCGGGTGATCCTCATCAGCAGGGCCTCCAGGGCTTTGAGGACGGAGCAGAGGGCAGGACGGAAGCTCAGGGAGCAGCAGCCACCAGCTCCAGGGCCCGAGGGAGGCGACCACGGGAAAACGGGATTTTGTGGACCGCGGTGGGGTTCAGGCCCACGTGCGAGGAGCGTGGGCTCAGAAGAAGGGGTCCCTCGGCCACTGCGCGGGGCTGACGAAGGCCGGGAAGGGAAGCGGGTGTCCCGGGGCCTACCCTGACCGTCCGGCCCCCGCAGGTTCACGGCCGAGGCGCGGCGACGACAGCGTCCCTTCACATACCTGCCTTTCGGGGCGGGCCCGCGGAGCTGCCTCGGGGTGCGGCTGGGGCTGCTGGAGGTCAAGCTGACGCTGCTGCACGTCCTGCGCCAGTTCCGGTTCGAGGCCTGCGCGGAGACGCAGGTGAGCCCGCCGCGGCGCGCGGGGGGAGGGGCTCTTGATCAGCGATAGGGGGGCTAATAATCACGCCCTCTCCCTGCTCTCGTTGTGCGAGGATTAAATGGGTCCGCACTCCTTCTCTGTTACCGAGGCTGCGCCTCCGAGCCTGTAGCTCTTCCCTGTTCAGCGAAGAGAACCCAGGGATCCCCCCGAGTAGGTTGTATTATTCCCATTCTTCAGATGAGAAGCTAAAATAAAGCTCAGGTTAAGTCACTTGCCTGAGGCCACGCACTTGGACTGCAGGCTCTGGGAGGGCAGGAACCAAGTCTGCCTTATTCACTGTGGCAGTCTCCAGCACCGGGCACCGCGCCGGTGCACACACGCGCACTGAATGGATGTTGATGAGCAAATGAGTGATTAGCCAGGGAATGAAGAAACCGGCTCCAACCAGATCTGGCTCGCCCCTGCCTGCTCCCCCATAAGCCACCCTCCTTCCTCTACCTCTAGCCGCCTTGCTGCCATGTGGACTGTTCCCTACACAGCCTGAAACTTGTGTCCCTCCATGCCTATTCAGAATCCCTCTGCACAGACAGGAGCCCGTTTGGGGACAGATTCTAAGTACACAGTGATGGAGGGACAAATGCTGGAGTCAGAGCCTGGCATTGCCTCTAACAAACAGTCTGGCTTCCAGGCTGGAGAGAGGGAGGGGCAAATTGGGAACATAGAGCCAAACCAACAGAAAGAAAAGCAGGCCCCCCAAATGCCTGAGGTGTTTGTGTGTGCAAGACTTCCTTTTGGGGTTTGTCTCATTAACCCTTGATCTTGACAGTACAGCAGTCATTGTCCCCAAACACTGCTTGTGCTTGGCATTCCCCACCTCAAGAACCAGCCGTGAGTCCCCAAGCCTGCTGGATCTATGGAGAGCTCTTCTGAGTCCACTTTGTGTTCCCTGCCCCAACGTCCCACTGTGAAAGGGCTCTCCCCACTCCTCCCTAGCTAGAATGCCACCACCCACCCCCAGCCTAATCCCATCTTCCAAATCTTTTGGTGTTCCCTCAAATCTGGAAGTGGTCCCTGAAAAGTCCTGCTCTTAAGGCTTCTCCCATTCCTAGGCCCACCTCAGGTGTCCATTCCTCCAGGAAGCCCTCCCTGACTTTGCTAGCCCCAACTGATCTCCTTTTTGGAAGTCCAATGGAGTTTCCAGTTTGTCTAGAGCAGTGTTAATACAGTAGCTGCCAACCACACTAACCTTTAATAATCAAATTTAAAATTCAGCCCCTCATTTGCTCAGTTGCCACACGTGCTACTGGCTACCAGACAGGATAGCACGGGTTTAGTTCATCTTGTTTCCTGGTCATGTAACTTGTCTCCCCTCTGAACCTTAACCCCCAAAGACATCTGAAAAGCCCACCAAGGCCCTGACACTGAGGCCCAGTGATTCTTCTTTCCCTGAAAGTGTTCATTCACATTAGCCACCGAACCATCATTTTAAACAGGGCTCCAAGAGACATCCTGCTTCTTGAGCAATTCTTTGGCTTTTCTTCCAAGTCCCCAGTCCACCATCAATCTGCCTTGTAAGTTGGACATGAAAGCTCTCTGCATGGCAGCAAGGTAGACCACACAGCACACGTGAGAAGGGGGTGAGGCTAGACCACAGCACACATGAGAAGGGGACACTACGAAGCCACTCTCCCAAAACCCCTCGTAAAGAGAGAGGGCTGCTCAGTTACCACTGGGGCACCGGGGAGTGAGAGGAGGGGAGGTGAGAGTTTGAGGCTTTGGTCCTCACTTTCCAGTCATGTGACCTTGGATGAGCCACCTGGTGTCTTTGAACCTCCATTTCTTCATTTGCAGAGTGAGCCGCTACCACGGCCTATTCAGGCTTCCTGGGAGGATAAATGCGGGACCGAGTACCTTACTCACCTGCAGTATTTCATCAACATGGGAAAGCGGGTCAGGCGCCAGTGTGCTGCTGGGGCACCAGCGTCCATTGTCCCCAAGACGCAGTTTTGCCACCTTCTCAAGGCCGTGCTGGGAGGCTGCTTTGCCAGCTTAGCCCTGCTGTCCCTCATTGCCACAATCATTCTCCAGGCCCTGTTGCAAAGAAGCTTCCTTGCAGATGTGGTTAGCTGTAACCAGTCTCTTCATCTCTTTCAGGTACCACTGCAGCTAGAATCCAGATCTGCCCTAGGGCCAAAGAATGGCGTCTACATCAAGGTTGTCTCCCGCTGACAGTGTTGTGATGACACTCCCAGATTCAAAGTAGACCTTCCTGTGGAAATTCAGAACCTGGGGAAAACATCACTGAAGCAATTGAAAGGGTGCCTGATGTGCAAGTAGAAAAGAGGTATTTAGATAACATTTCCTGAATGCTTAATAAATGTTTACTGCACTTAGTTTTGACTTTGCTGATGATGTATGAACCACTGACCCACCTCTCTCCATCTGGGATTGCTGACAACGAAGCAAAAATGTAATTTTGTCAGAATGAGAACTCGGGGTTTTGAAGGAAGTCCTGGCCTCAGGATGGGAGGGATCTGTATGACAGAGGACTTGGGGACACTGGGTGAGCTGCCTTTACAGCACCAGCTCCTGGGCCTCCAGCTTCTGGTGCACTTGGGGCATTTGACTTAAAAAAATGAGATTTATCAGAAGCCCAGCTTTAACAGTGGCTCAAAAGCTTTCTTGTGCTTTGATTTTCCTAGGTAGGATAATACTAACTTTATAGGTTTTAATGCACAGAAGAGTGAGAGAGACGGAAACATAGGCATTGGGCCTTCTCTTCCTTTTGATCCAAGAGTCAAACATAGAAGTGAATTTATTAAACTATCGTGTTGCTAAGAAGTTGAAATTCAACAAGGAGCTCTCAAGTTGAATCCCACATCTGCCATCAGCCACATGTGGTCGTGGCTGCTGGTCTTCCTACATCCCTGTGCCTCCATGTACTCATCTGTAAAACAGGGCCGCTGACCTAGATCAAAGCCCCCTCCCCTGTGCACCATCTGAGCAGCGAGAAGGGGCTGAGTGTCCTGTAGGTAGCATTCCGAGCAGGAGTCCGTGAGCGTGGCTATCCAGACACTGGCCCCTGTGTAGGCTGTTTCAGAACTGGCACAAGAGGTTTCCATGTATCCCTGGCTGTGGATCCTGCCTCTGTCATTGGGTCCTCTCCTACTCCAGCCCAGGAGACCCGATGCTTCCCCCAAAGTCCTTCCTTAGAGAGCCCTCTTCTCACTTTCAGGCTTCCCTGGAGGCAGGAAGGCGTGGTCCCAGCCCTGGGAGCTGCCCGGCTCTCTCTGCACACAGCTCTCTCTGCACCCTTGTCCTCACCACTCCTCCTCTCTGGGCCCCAGCTTCTTCAAGATGTCTCTCCATGTATGGCCACACGTTCCACTTTCTGGTGACCCATCTGTCCTTCCTGACCGGCCTGCCCGTCTCGTCTCCCAGCCCCTAACCCTCTATGGCCATCACACAGCGTCATCCTGCAGAAGAGCCCAGCTGAGCACCTGACTCCCTCCTCAGAGCACAGTCTGTGTGTGGCGCCCCCAGCCCGTCAGCTCCACTGGCTTCCCTCACCTTCTCTGTCCAGGTGCTTCCCACCTTCAGACACAGCAGTGAGGCCTCCTCATATTCTAGAATTGCTGGACTCAGCCCTTCGACTGTTTCAACCCACAATCCCGAGCTCCCCTGAAATCCCACCACCCATGTGCGACACCAGCTACCACAGGGCAGGAGCTGGCACGGACTGGGCCCTCCACAGGACCCTTTAGCTGAATCCCAACCAGGTCCTCGTGACAAGTCAGTCACACACACTTGCCCTGGGTCCCACCGCCTCTTCGCACCAAGGGCTATCGTTATTTTGACTTCTTCCCATCACAGTGCCCAGCCCCCCCCACCCTATAAACGGGTCACACGGACCCTGTCCCTCTCTCAAATTTCAGGTCCAAGGTTGCTTTCTGAAAGGGGAGCAAATCCAGGGCCTCCACAGTCTTCACAGCTCAACTGCCTTTTCTGGAGCATGTGACCATCACTGACACCAGGTTTCTCCAGCCGTCCGTCCCACCCACACTTCCCAGTGGACCATCCCTGCTGCCCACCACTCAGCTCCCAGCAGCGAGATGGTTAATGAGCATGGGATCACTCACATTTAAGACTTGGCTGGCAAGTACCTGACTTCATGTTTCTCTCTGACACCCTCTGGCCCTCCACCTATACTGGAGGACCTGGACTCAGCTGAAAAGCAATGAATAAGATTTCAGGATCAGGCAGGGTAGGGAGGAAATATTTTGGGGGCTCTGAAAAAATCATACCATGTACAACCCGTTGACTAGCCTGGCAGGTGGGGAAGATAGTACTGGTGTTGCTACATTTTTCTGGTCAAAGAATTCAGTTCTTCTCTGCCTTAACCTGTGTAAGGTTCCAAGGTACTGCCTACCCCTGTTCCAAAGATGGAAAAACTCAACAGCCTTGGATCTGAGCACTCAAGGACAGAGTGACAGAAGCAGACGCAGCAGGCAGAGTGGACACACTATATTAGGATGGTGGGGGATGGGCAGGAAAGGTGTAGGGGAAGAAGAGGAGCCCATAACTGAGGACTGAACTCAGAGACCAAAAGGGATGGCCACATCACGACACGGAGCTGCCCTGCCCATCCCTCCTCCCCCACAGCCAGCCAGTGCTCAGCAGGGACTCCCATCAACTGCTGTGTGTGCAAGGCAGAACGCACCCAGCCCCCACATCCACGACACACTCTGCTCAGGAGTCAGTCTGGGTTTTGCAGAACTTGAAGTTCACAGCGGTTGGGGGAAAGAAAAAAAAAATACGAATATGTAACTTCTGCAAATTGAAGGGAGATGTAGGACCATGTGGCCATGTAGTTAGGGCTCCTCTTAGGATTGTGGAAGGAGCGCCAGCGAGTGAGAGGTCCTGAACCTTCAGGTTCATCAGCTTTAGCGTAAGTCCACACACAGCCCCCAAGACCAGTACCAGGGGCTGTTATATCCCGACACCCAGAAAAGTGCCTGTATCCAGCAGGTGCTAGATAAATAGACGCTGAAGAATGAGCTCTGGTCACCGCCTACTTCAGATAAATATTCTTTTATTTCCATGCTCCACTGTGACATTTGCAGCTCAGGTATTCAAATCTCACAGGAACAGAAAACTCACATTCAGAGGGTGTCCAGTGTGCTCAGATGTGGGAATGGGCCTTTGTGGGCAGAGCCCCGGGGGCCCTTAGGGGCAGCCACCCATCCCTGTCACCTTCCACTGAGTGATGCAGACCCCACCAGGACAAAGGGAAGCTAACGGGGCCCCACTGATGCCACACAGTAGCCACCTGCTCTAACACTGTGACGGATGGGCCGACTCCAAGGCCAGAAGCCCGGAAGGAGAGGTGCCTGGATTAGAACCAGAGCAACAGACAGTGACGGCCTCCTGCACTGATGGCTACTGCATCATTTTGACAAAAAATTAAACAAGATGCCACTGAGACCCTGAAAAACCAAATGACTCACTGTAGAAACTTAAATTTAAAATCAATCCATAAAATAGTATCTAGAAACTCTGTGCCTGGTGCCCATCGGCCACAGAGTCAACAGAGAGTGTAAATAATAAAACTTTAACAGACTAGTAAAAGGCAGTAACGGGCCCACCTATAGTCACTTCTGGTTAGTCTACTAATGATCTAATGACCCCAAAAGTGGCTTAAAACTGAAAACCGTTATCAGTGAGAGATTAAGAATATAACTTCATCAGGAAGTCAACATTAAATGAACAGTTCATTAAAAGTTTTTGTTTAAAAAAAAAAAAATAGCTACTCCAAGGAAGCCACGCCTGAAAGGCATTAAAAACATCCTCGCAGGCTCACTGCCGGCCCCCAAAGAAAGACGCCAAGGAGAAGAGGGCAGAGGCACCAGCCGTGGGCTTGGTGGAGCCGGTATACTGAATCACGTACTCCGGGTAGACCTGGTGCTTCTCGAAGACCACGAAGATGGACGGGTCGGACATGCTGTTCACGCAGCTGTCGTAGAAGACACTGCCAAGGCCCTCCTTGGCTGGGGGACGGACGAAGGAGGCATTGCCTCGGATGAACTCCCCCACCAGCACCCGGGCCAGGAACATCGTGTGGGACTTGGTGTCAGATTTGCTGTAGTGGTGGGAGTACGCGGCATCCCGGGCAAAGTAGCTCCCTGCAAGGACACACACGGGTTCAGCTGGGGGTGGGGGGCGGGAGGCAGCCCGCAGCCTGGAAGGGGGTGCTCGGGGGTCCTGTCAGCCAGGTGACACCCCTGCCTCTCTCTTCTCACATTTCTCCAGCCTCTTCCCTCATGAAGGGCATCAGGAGTCTCACCAAACTCTGAGACAGAAAACTCAAGTTCTGACTCGGTCCCTCAAATCCTAAAGGTTCCCCTGGGCACATCACTACTTAGCCCCCAAACCTCAGCTCCCTCAGCTCTAAAATGCAGCTATCATGACAGCCTCATAGGGTTGGTGTGGAAAGGGAGCAAGATCCCATACATCGACAACTGTAGCCACTGGCAGCCCCGCAAAGAGAATTCTGAAGCTGGTCGAATGGGACCTGCACTGGAGGCTGCCACATACACATTCGGAAATAGGACCCACCACCGGCTTCCATCCATCCTGTGCCCACAACTGCTGTCACACCTAATTAAGGCTGACTGATGGACAAGTGACAGAGTCCAAAGAGGGCTGCGGACTACAGCATCACATCATATGAGATTTTCAACTTAGCAACCGTGTCATGGTTACAGCAAAGAACATCTTTGTTCTTAGGAGGCACTCAAGAGGGAAAGGGCATGACATATGCCACTTGCAAGTGGGTCTAAAGAAATAAAGCCAATGTGGCAAAAGGTTAAAGCTGATGAATCTAGGTAAAACTTATGCAGGGGGGTTTAAAATATTATTTTTGAGGCTTCCCTATGAGTTTAAAATTATTTCCAAATAAAGCTTGAAAATAACACAGGAAAATAGCTAACTCTCATTCTAGCGGGAATGACGGCGTACACCGGCCTATCTGAAGTGTTCAGATTCCCATTCCAGGGATTACGCAGGCACAGTCAGGGCCGGACTCGGGGCTGGGAAGGTACCTGCTCTCCTCCCCCCACTCATGCTCACCATCTCCACAGCCTCCACTCCACAGGGACACAAAGCCCAGCCTGAGCAGGGCTGCTCCTGCTAGAATCTTGGGTGAGGCTCCTGGCTGCACACAGAGGACAGTAAGGGTGCCACCAGCCGGGCACCCTCCCCCAGAGGGCCAGGTGTCCATAACTCACTGAGTTTGACCCTGCTCATCAACTCACACCGGTCCCCCCATGCCCTCTATCAATTTGCTTTAAAAGGGTTTCCCAAGAACAAATATTGTGAAAATGTCTATGCTACCTAAAGCAATCTACACATTTAATGCAATCCCTATCAAAATCCCATCCATTTTTTCCAAAGAAATGGAACAAATAATCCTAAAATTTATATGGAACCAGAAAAGACCTCGAATAGCCAAAGGAATATTGAAAAAGAAAGCCAAAGTTGGCGGCATCACAATTCCAGACTTCAAGCTCAATTACAAAGCTGTCATCATCAAGACAGTATGGTACTGGCACAAAAACAGACACATAGATCAATGGAACAGAATAGAGAGCCCAGAAATAGACCCTCAACTCTATGGTCAACTAATCTTCGACAAAGCAGGAAAGAATGTCCAATGGAAAAAAGACAGCCTCTTCAATAAATGGTGTTGGGAAAATTGGACAGCCACATGCAGAAAAATGAAACTGGACCATTTCCTTACACCACACACAAAAATAGACTCCAAATGGATGAAAGACCTCAGTGTGAGAAAGGAATCCATCAAAATCCTTGAGGAGAACACAGGCAGCAACCTCTTCGACCTCAGCCGCAGCAACTTCTTCCTAGGAACATCGCCAAAGGCAAGGGAAGCAAGGGCAAAAGTGAACTATTGGGACTTCATCAAGATCAAAAGCTTTTGCACAGCAAAGACACAGTTAACAAAACCAAAAGACAACTGACAGAATGGGAGAAGATATTTGCAAACGACATATCAGATAAAGGGCTAGTGTCCAAAATCTATAAAGAACTTAGCAAACTCAACACCCAAAAAACACATAATTCAATCAAGATATGGGCAGAAGACATGAACAGACATTTCTGCAAAGAAGACATCCAGATGGCCAACAGACACATGAAAAAATGCTCCACACCACTCGGCATCAGGGAAATACAAATCAAAACCACAATGAAATACCACCTCACACCAGTCAGAATGGCTAAAATTAACAAGTCAGGAAATGACAGATGCTGGCAAGGATGCGGAGAAAGGGGAACCCTCCTACACTCTTGGTAGGAATGCAAGCTGGTGCAACCACTCTGGAAAACAGCATGGAGGTTCCTCAAAAAGTTGTAAATAGAGCTACCCTATGACCCAGTAATTGCACTACTGGGTTTTACCCTAAAGATACAAACGTAGTGATCCTAAGGGGCACGTGCACCTGAATGTTTATGGCATTATTATGTCCACAATAGCCAAACTATGGAAAGAACCTAGATGTCCATCAACAGAATGGATATAGAAGATGTGGTGTGTATATATGTATATATACATATACACACACAGTGGAATACTATGCAGCCATCAAAAGAAATGAAATCTTACCATTTGCAATGACATGGATAGAACTAGAGGGTATTAGGCTTAGCAAAATAAGTCAATCGGAGAAAGACAACTATCATATGATCTCCCTGATATGAGGAAGTGGAGATGCAACGTAGGGGGTTTGGGGGGTAGGAAAAGAATAAATGAAACAAGATGGGATCGGGAGGGAGACAAACCATAAGAGATTCTTAATCTCACAAACCAAACTGAGGGTTGCCGGGGTGGGGGGGGGGGTGGAGTCAGGAGAGGGTGGTGGGGTTATGGACACTGGGAAGGGTATGTCCTATGGTGAGTGCTGTGAAATGTGTAAACCTGGTGACTCACAGACCTGTACCCCTGGGGCTAAAATACATTGTATGTTTATAAAAAAATTTAAAAAAAAAAATACAATAAATAAATAAAAGGGTTTCCCAGGCCCTGGGAAGAAAGCCAGGTTCTGCCGGTGGGGCCACCTTTGCCCTTACCCTTGCCATAGGAAGTACCATGAAGACCACAGACCCGCCAGTCGAAGTTCTGCTGGCAGATGGCATCAACGAAATTTGCACTGGTGCCGTGGAAGAGCTGCCGCTCATCGACCACCTTCCCTCCATTTCTCTTCTGCATCTGGCCTTTTTGCCTAGAATCATGAGACAGGAGGCAGAGGGTGCTTGCTGCCAAATGCAGGCCACTTGACACAAGAAAACACATTTTATTAGAAGCGTCATGAGTCCAGGCCCGTAAGACCAGGGTGAACAGCAAAACCTGGGTGAAAAGCCCACAGGAAGCCTTTGCCTCCACAGCTCAAGGCCTCTTCAGCTTCTTGAACTCCTGAAGCAGACCAGACCCACTTCTTCCCCACTACCTTGCTTCCTCCGGAGCTTAGCCAGGGAAGCTGGGAAGCTGGAGGATGCTGGTCAGTGGGGGGCCGTCCCTCTCCCCGTTACCCCGATTTCATCACTGGTCCCGGAGTACAGATGACACTGCTCCAACCCCCTCTTCTGGGGACAGGTCAGCAGGACCCCAGGCCTGCCATGGTAACCTGCTGCAGATCTCCTCCCTATAAGGACAATTCACTGAGCACCCAAGAACATGCTAGTCCTCAAGCACAAAAATGAGGCGCGGCTCCCTGGCTGTCAGGACACAGCTCTATCTCCCTCTGCGTGTGGGTGGCTTACACGGACCGGTCCCGCTGATCTTCAGGCAGGGAGGCAGAAGTGCTGGCTGTCACTAGGGCAGCTTGAGTCCCCTCAACTCTGAGGGATGTGCCAACACTAAGCTATAAAGATGGAGAGATGGGGAGAAAAGCAGGGACATAGTCCCTGATGCCCCCAGCACTGGGCAAGCAGTGGCCGCCATCTCAGATTGTCCCTGAAACCCAGGACACGTCTGACAAGCAGCTAGCCTCCCGTGTGTGTACTAGAGGGGATGGTCAGCAGCTCAGCAAGAGTGGGCCCTTCACATACCACTGGTAGACTTCCCAGAGAGCCAGATTCTGGACTCGCTCAATCTTCTGAACAAAGTAAAAAGGCAGCGTACGGTTGAATAGGTTCCAGACCTTTTGATACTCGTCTGATGAAGAACTGAGGGTAATCTTCTGCAGGGAGCAAACATTTTTTTTTTTCTCCGTTATCCTCGAAGTGTATATAGATCAGTCCCTTCCCAAGGCTGCTTATAAAATGCTAGAACTGCAAGCAAACCCAGACAGTGATCACTACTCTCCCTTGACCAGAGGTGTAGTCTCTCCAGCTGTGGGGTGTTTGCGGTTTGTGGTCACTTCCCTGCTGTTCACTGTGGAACCCTCCTGAAGGACGGGCACGTGGTACATCGGCACCACTCTTGGTGTCCCCAGGACATCCCCACTCCTCCTCTGTATCCACACAGACTACATAGTCTACAGGACCAGAGCTGGTGTTAATACACACGGAGTGCGCACGTTTGGCCGAGCAGGGCAGACCCCAGTAAAGCAGGTGTGTATGGCAGGAGCCCTCCTCACCTCCGCGCCAGGGAAGATGTCAGGCGGGCAGACAATACACATCAACACAGGAGCACGAGGAGATTTGCAGGGATGGTGCCTGGCTACTGCGTCCTCCCAGCAGAGCCCACCTCTCCCTTAGCGCCTTGCTCTGGGAAATAGCACCCCCTAGGGGCCAGGAGGGGCCCTGACCAAGGGCCGCGGATGTCTGCAGTGACAATCCATCAATTCCTGCGCTTTCAGCCTGCAACTAACCCGCTGCCCTGTTCCTGCTCCTCGAGGCTTGGCCCGATGACAGCCTGTTAAGGGATCCCCGGGCGATCGCTCTGTACCACGGCCTTGCCCTACGGTGAGTGCAGTCTGAATGTCCATGCATCTCCTGCAACTGAAGTTGTGACTGGTTTCCTTGCTTCCATCCCATGGGAGGACACCAAACTCCTCTCCCTCAAGTAGGGAACCAGCCTGGCCCTCCCCCAGACCAGACTGTCAAGGGCTCCCATATCTGTCATGGCCTATAGCTCAACCCCACAACCGAGTGCTCCACAGCACTGCCTGACCTCCCTCCCGCTCCCCAGGGACTAGGCATGCCCTCCACCCTGACCTGGGCTCCTTCCCTATGTAGTCTTCATCGACCTGTATGTTCTTCCCCTACTTCTGTCTGTACAAGTATCAGCCATCACTTAGGTGCGGACCCAGTGAAACCTTCCCTATTCCCCTTAATCTGGTCACCTGGCCCTGTGACGCTGAGTACTATCGCTCAAGCTCGCCCAGCCCTTTGCACATGTATCTGGGCTGCTGGGGTCTCTGCATACTGGGGTCTGTGTACAACTCGATAAGAGGAGTCCTCCCAGGGAAGATAGACACAGAGCTGTCAGCACAGTGCTCAGTAGGACGCCAGCGTCAGAGGCAGTCTGAGGGCCTCACGTACACAAGGCGGTAGTGGACAATGGCCTGAGTACTCCATAGAACTCAGTGTAGCTCTCGTCAGCTGGAAGGCCCGACATGCGCCATGTGAACTGGTGTCCCTGTCTTCTGGTATCTGGCGCCTTCCTACAGCAACTCCCCTCGACATGTCCCTCATCACACTCAAATCCTCCCCTGGTTTTTTTCTTTTCTTGCTTAGTAAAACTAATACTTATTGGCTAAACAGCTGTTAAGCTCTTATTTCTGCCCTTTGAGAAATTTCCAGGTCATCATCCTTCATCCACAATACAGCCTCTCCCCTTGGGGTCATCCAGCTTCCTGGTGGTCATCCAGCCTTAAAACCCCTAAGACCTGAACCTAAAACCCCACACAGCTCCTGCCTCCTGACCCAGCCTCTCCTGACGGCTCCCTCAGTGGTGGAGTCTGCTCACTCACTGTGTCTAAGAACACCCTCTTCCGTGGCCCGAGGCAGTGTGAGTCCCATACCTTAAAGCCAGGGTCTGGCAGGGCCGAGGGGTCCCAATGGTCTGGGATGCTCTTTGGGCCTTGAAACTTGACACTGCTACAAAATGTAAACAAAAACACTGAGATTTTGTTTAGTCTTATGCAGATCTATTACTGGTGGCTGCCACTCACAGGTACCAGCAGTCGGGGGTCTCAGCATACCATTTGGTAAGAGCAGGCAGAGGTGGGGAAGCCCCTAAGCACACTACCCATGACATGGAAGCACATCTATCTTGGCCCACGCGGCCAAACCCCAAAACCTCAGGCACGAGGGATCCATTTCTCACCTGTATCTCAACACTTGGATGGAAGGCAGAGAGTAACTGATAAAAGGAGCACATACAAACTTTCATCCACAATTTAAAAATTCAAAGAGCTCTTTTTTCAAGCGGCCTCAATGAGGTGTAACTGGCATACAAAAACATTTTATAAAAGAACAGAAAATGTATGTCACAACTCATTTGGCAGGAGAGCCTGGCTGGCTCAGCCGGTTGAGCATCCCCCTTGATTTCAGCTCAGGTCAGGAGACGGAGCTCCATGTCAGGCTCCACACTCAGTAGGGAGTCTGCTTTCCCCCTGCCGCCCAACTCTCGTGCTCACGCTCTCCCTCAAATAAATAAAAATTAAAAAAATAAAAAAAACCTCCTCTGACAGTAGAAATTTGACTACAGCTGCTAGGAGGCTATTTGTGGTCTGTAAATATCCTATTTAAAGGGACTAAGCTTATTTCATACAGCTGCAATATTAGCTTGTTTAATTACAGGTTTCACATAATATAAGCACCTTATCATCTTTCCAAAAAATAAAAGTAAACAAAGACTGAGTTCTAAAAGACATGTGACCCAACAGGTCTAGGAACAGGAACTATGTCACTGTAATACCAAATCCCTCTGATTCTGTTTCAGAATGATCTGTTCTTTCTACAATAGATCTACCTTCTGTTTCCACTGGCATGAGACGTGTACCTTCATCCTAAGCCTCAAAGAACTCCCACAAATAACTCTCCTAGGAAAACAGCACAGTTTAAAATAACTAACCAAGGTCCCATAAGCAAAAATTAGCCAGAAACAGACCGTGGAGACTGAAGATGCTGAAATTATGAGGCAAGATTATAAGATTATAACACAACAATTATTTTTTCTGTGTTTAAAGAAATAAAAGAAAAACTTTAAAAATATATGCAAGGAACTGAACTATAAAAAGATGTGGAGGGTTTGAAAAAGAACGAGAAGGAACTTCTGGAAGTGAAAGACACTGCTTGCTAGGCGAAGTCCCAAGGACAGCCTTGTGAGCAAGGGAGACCGCCTGAGGAGAGGAATAAGGGGAACGAAAAGGGAAGGGCGGTCATCCAGAATGGGGCCCCAGCAATGCGGAGATGAGAGATATGGAGGAGAAGCTGGGACAAGGAGAAGAGAGGGAGAAGGCCTGGATCTGGTCCGAACCTAACCAAAGCTCTGAAAAGAGAGGAGAGGAAAGGCTGAAGGCTATTTTAAGGAGAACAAAGGAGAATCTCAGGCACAAAGGTCTAAAAAGCCCCAAGAATCTCCAAAAGGATAAATAAGAGCACACGCCCTGCCACACCAGGGTGAGAGCACGAACATCAAGACCAACACAATCTGAAAAGCAGTCAGAGGAAGACAAGAGTTGAGTCTGGAAAAGGGGCTCTGCTTAGACCAACAACCAATTTTGCAACAGCAGCAATGGAAACCAGGTGACAGTGGAATGAACTCTTCTGTGTTCCGGGAGAAAATAACCACACCCCAAAATGCTAGAGCCAGTGAAAATATCTTTCAAGACTGGGGGCAAAATGAAGATGTAGTCAGGCAAACAAAAATACAATTTTCCAAAAGATCTTCATCTAAGAAAATTTGAAAAGACAAAGCAGTAAAACATGAGTAAATCTAATGAAACATTCATTGTATAAAGTAACAATACTCATGAAGTTAAAAAACAAGAGAGGAAATTAATGGAATAAGGTATTTGAAAGCTCTTACATTAGTCGATAGGAAGACAAAGATACTGACCAACTCATACCTAAGAACACGTTATAATTTCTAGTGTGGCCTTTAAAAAAAATAAAGTAGGGGCGCCTGGGTGGCTCAGTGGGTTAAAGCCTCTGCCTTCGGCTCAGGTCACGATCCCAGAGTCCTGGGATCGAGCCCCACGTCTGGCTCACTGCTCAGCGGGGAGCCTGCTTCCTCCTCTCTCTCTATTTCTGTCTGCCTCTCTACCTACTTGTGATCTTTGTCTGTCAGATAAATAAAATCTTTAAAAAAAATAAAAATAAAGTAATACAGTACATAACTTCCAAACTAATAGGAGGGGAAAAAATGAAATGACCAAAAATATCCATAAGGCGGCAAGAAAAGAAAAAATAGGACTCAACCACATGAATAAAACATTTTTATGCAGGATATAAGGACAGTAAGAAACTAAACCAGAGAGCCGATGTGTAAATGCCATTTCAAACTTCCCATCAAACTCTGGTATTAAAACTCTGGAATGTGGAGATCATATTCTGTGACCCTGTCATTCGTGTAAACAGACAAGTTGTTTCTGAAAGCAACCCACTCTAGGAGTCCCAGCTGGCTAGAGAGGTGGGAGCAGACTTGCTTACTAGAGTTGCAACAGCTGGCAGCCGTCACTTGGGTTAGCAGGAAGAGCCACAGGCTTCACTGCACGGACACTGTGTGACTCTCAGGTTATGCACTAGGAAGATCCTGCCTGAATCAGGCATATCTTAGTCTGAATCTGACCAAAATGATCGCTTTCATTTCTGATGTGTGGTGTCTGTGGCCCTCTAAAGCCCACGTTACAGTGATAACAAAAAACATCCGGTCTCAGAAAGGTGACAGATTTTTCCAAACTGTATCTAAGATAGGCTTTGATTAGGGGAAAAATAAAAAATAACTTCCAGAAATAGAAGCAGCCACAGTTAACTAAACTCTAAATCCAGAAGCAATACATAGGAGAGATGGATCCATTTTACTAAAAAACAAACATTTCTGCCTGGGTATACAATACTTTATAAACAAAGCTGGCAACTAAGAAATCAAGAGAAAAGGTTTGTGATTTGTATAAGAAACTGAGTGCTGACCTCCCCAGTAGATAAAAGGCTCTTAACGTATCAAAAAAAACCACCAAAAGGCTGACAAAAAATTGAACAAAAAGACAAACTCCCCACAGAAAAAGAAAGGCAAATGGCTGTTAGAGTTAGCAAAAAAACTTTAAACTTCACTCATAAGAGAACGCAAATTAAAATACACTGAAAACACCCTTTGCCACACATGAAAACAGCAAAAGTCCAAGAGCTTGATGACTCACTTGTTGGCAAGGCCAAGGCAGTACCTCAAGCACCTTGAGGCAAAGTGCATAATGGTTCAACCCCATTAAGAGGAATTTGCATTTACCTTCTAGAACATTAATCTCCCTGAACATGAAACAGCACGTACACCAGATCATCCACCGTGGTGTTACCCTTGTAACAACAAAAGATCTGAAACAATGCAAAACATCCCTCCAAAGGGGACAGATTAAATAAATTAGGGTATGCACAGGTGTTGGAGAGCCATGCAGACAGACAGATTTCAGAAGACTTCAGTGTCCTGAAAGGGAAAAGAAAAGGTACAGAACAGTACATACAGAATGCTGCCTCTAGTTTGGTGCAAGAAAAGTGAAATCAGAAAACACTTTTATGTATACACATTGCTCATTTTTGCAGAAAGAAAGATAATAGAGATATATCAGAATTGTATGTATGCAAATGGCAACTCATTGTGGAAACGCTGGAGACAACAGGGAGGAAGATGATGACTACTGAGTATACCCTTTTCTTGGACTGATAATACCTTTTCTCTCTAGTTTGTATCAAACTCTTCTTTAAATGACCATGGTCCACAAATACAACTACTGAGGTCCATCTGCGAGACCCCAGAAGAGCCAGCAGAGAAACTATTCGGTTCACCATGAAACAGAAATGAGCCCGGTTTCTCTGGTTAAAGGAAGGCGTAGCTGGCTAAGGACAACACTGGCTGAAGTCCCAGCTTAGGCTGTGACACACCCAATGTACCAGGTGCTGTGGTACTTGCTGCCATCCAGCCACTCTCCCCCTGCATGTAGCCATGTGGATTGGAGAGAAAGAACCCTTCTCCCAGCTCCAAACCCAGGACATCTGCACCCAGCCTAAAACTTCTGGTTCAGTGGGGGTCTGGGTAGAGCCAAGCTCTTAAATATGCCCCATCAGCTGCAGGAGGGTCCTCTCCTGCCCTAAATGCTTAAAAGGCCCCTAGTGGCTTCTGGAACTCAAAAGGGAACCCGCCCTGAGGAAGAAGAGACTAAGCGGCCACTAAGAGACCAGCGGCTGCAGCCATTTTCAGGTTTTTGGTATCCCATGACATGCAAGTACATAAAACCATGAAACACATGGTTTTCTTATTGGTATATAATTCCATTATTTTTCTATCACTTCGACATCTTCAAACACTCAGATCTATGATTCAACTATTCAACTGAAAAATACAAACTGTGAGCCAGCTTCAAGCCTAACCGGCTTGCAGAGCACAATAAGCAGCCTGTAACTGTGCATCACAGATCTTCTACCCAAAAGATGACGCTCTGGCTCCAAGCCTTTCCCAGCTCCTGGCATATGGGCACTGGCAGTCACCCTGCCACAGGTGATGGCACCAAAGCTGGCATTCACACGTGATGCCACTGAAGAACAAAGAGCCATGTGCTTTGTCAGAAGCCAAGACCGCAGCTCACTACCAATAACAAAGTCGGACTCCAAAAACAAACAGAAAAACCCAAAGAGCTACTGAAAAGTTCCCTTCCAAGTTAAAAAACAAACTATACAATCACTTGAAGATGGAGACAGAGAGAAATTATGAGAAGTAAGATTATTACTGTTCCCTAACCATTCTCTAAATTAGCCTAAAGTCAGGAGTAAGTTTTTTGGTTTCCGGAAAAATCTGCACAAGAATACACTATGAATCAGGAACACCACTCACACACTTACAGTTAAAATATCTAATTATATGGCATGCGCCTAGGTGGCTCAGTCGGTTAAGTGTCCTACTCTTGATTTCAGCTCAGGTCACGTTCTCAGGGTTGTGGGATCAAGCCCCACGTTGCTCTGTGCTCAGCACGGAGTCTACCTGAGATTCTCTCCCTCTGCCCTTCCCCACCTCTGCGTGCACGCATGCGTGCGCACGCACACACACACATACACACACACATACTCTCTCAAATAAATCAATCTTTTTAAAAAAATCTAATTATACAATTTTTTCCAGTGTCTTAGGTCTTTTTTTCCCTTTATTTCATGTTGCACTTTGTTTGGCACCTTAATGCTTTATTAACTAAAAGTTAATTAGTCTACCATACAATTAGAAAAATACTGACATATTTCTATAAACCTGAATTATATTTATCATCTTATAATCCATGCTAATACTTCTCTCTCCGAAATGTGCTAAGTGTACCCTGATTTTCCAGTTTCATGAATTCTCAGACCTTTTCTGGAACTTGGCTATTAATACCAGCACTATAGTATTAAGTGAAGGAAAGTACGAAGGTCCTGCCTGGGGGGCAGGCCTGGGCACTCAGAGCTGGCACATTCAGTGACACAAGCCAACACACCCTCTCACTGCAATTATGCCAGCCCGAGGAGGCTTCCTGTACGTGCAGCAGAGCACAGCCCCCCAGCTCTCATGCCACCTACCAGGCTTGCTTCACCTTCACCTCCTGAGGGGACACGTATCTGGGTCGCCGGCAAACCTTTCTGACTGTGCCATAGACCAGGTTTTTCTGAACAAACACTGAAGAAGAAGAAAAAAAAAAAAACAAATATATATATATACACACACACACACACACACACACACACATAGGATGGCAATGTTTTATAAGTACAAACTAAATGGTTTGGAAAACTAATCCTAATATGTAAAGCCTGGAGTCAGTCTGTTAAAAAAACAAGGCAATTTTCACATTTCAAATATTCATAAAAGAAAATAGGTATCCTTAGGAGACTGGGTTTAATGAACACATGAATGATGAGTAATTGGCATATCAATTATACATGAGCACTTTTAAATTGTTCCTTCCAATCTTGTTTAAACCATTATTTTGCTTAGCAATTTTTCCCAACTTGGATATAAAAAAAGCTTCAGCCCAGCCTGAGACCAAATTACCACATTTTGAGCCAGAGGGATTTAGAGTTAATACACTAATTTTACTCTTACAACTTTTTTTTAATTTGACTAAACTGACTCCACAGCAGTATTTCTCAACCTTTTTAAACCTGTACCATCTTTAATAAACAAAATCCTTGTCCTACGCCCACCCCCATGATCCTCAGAGGTTCATCCTGAGGGGATGAGAGGAGACACTGATCCTCAAGTTGAAAAATCACAAACACCTATGAGCTAGATTACATGTCGCTTGCCACCAGGAAAACCCTGTCACGTCTTACTTTCTGCACTTAGAGTATAAAACCAGTTTTTTCTTTTTCATTTAAAAAAACATTTTAACATTAAGTTGTAGGTGTCTGTGACTTATGTTACTGCATTTGAGCATACACAGTCTGATCACTGAGGTGGGAGTCCCTCATGCTGTTGCCCAGGTGGTCATCAAGATCAGAACTCCCAGGGGTCCCCCACCTTCTCATCAGGAGCCCAGGCACCAGACATGGCTACCACAAGCCCTACTGTTGTCCATCCCTCACCTCCCATCAATAATTAGCACACTTACTTGGGTTTTTATTGGCCTCTTGACTGACATCATCGTAAGTCTCAAATGGTCTTTCACTGGTACAACTACTCAAGACATGCAGACTGACTGACTATATGTGAGACCCACTCCCTACCCTTCCGTGGATGGGAAAAAGTAAGTTTTTTCCCTTGTTACCCCTACAAGGGATACAGTAGGCTAAGTCCCTAAACAAACGTGACCTTGGGGATTCTGCCCATCTGATGGTAGCTAACAGATATCGCAGTTCTCCCTCTGGAATCGGCACTGGCAGTGGCCTTGAGCAAAGCATGTGAAAAGAGTCCCTAAAATGACAGCGCCGAGTCTTCCTCAATCCTACAGAACCAATCATTTGACCTGTTGTGTGTGTTTCTTAACTGTACTTGTTTGCTAATAATATTTCATTCATAAACATGTCTGGCCGACTTGGGTCTGAGACTTGCTTTCACAACACCTCACCGTGAGACAGGAACCTAACACCTCAAACTACTTCTGTTGCTGCTGTGATCCACCACCAACAAAACGAATTGTGCCTAACCATGTGAGACTGGGTCAGTGTGGGGTGAACACACTTTTTCCTGCAGTTTGCAGAAAACCGCATGTGTGTGCTCTTTCCCACCGTTATCCTGACTCTCGGTTCTGTCCCCTGGGGATACAGCCTAGGCTGAGAATGGTAAAGGCCGCATCTGACATTTCTGGCTCTGACATTTTCCAGATACTTAAAAGGAGTGTTTCAAACAGTTGCCAGCGGCCTTCAGATGGTTGCTAGTTGCATGGACTTGATCCTCATATAACTCACTGCCCCTTTTGTGCATTTTTATCTATCAGACTGTGGACCGGAAACCAGACTTGACCTACGGCTGCTGGTCCCCAGCAGATGCTGAGGGCGGGTGAGCAGCTCTCCCTGCAGAGAACACACTTCTGTGTTCTCTGCAAGGGCACACTGAGGGGCAGCGGTTCCACCCTCACCGAGAAAATAAGCACTACAAAACCACAGCGAGCAGGTCGCATGGTTTTAGGATAATTTAGCGCATGCACTCTGCTGCCCTCCCCATAGTAGAAGGTCCACAAAACAGAAAAAACAGCAAATTGTATTTAAAGGAAGGCCCAGTGAATTCCCTCAAAAGGTGCTGAACATTCAGAAGGACTCAGAGTTTAAAGGGTAAGGCAACACTGAGTTAAACAGAGCTGGGCTGATAAAACCATGAGGAAATGTCTTAAGAGAAGCCACAGAAAAAACTAAAATGAAAAAAAAAAAAAAATCCTCCAAAATCAGTCACTACATGAACTGGCCACTGTTTCTGTCTGTCTGCAAAGGCAGCCAGGACAAGTCACTTAAAGTTCAGTGTCAGGACACGATGGGCACAGGACAATCTGCTTCCAGTAACTTTTAAGGAAAGTGCACGTCTAGCATGTGCTCAGTCTGCAGCCCACCTGAGCCGCAGGTGCTGAGAGGACGATGGGGAGCCGCCAGGCCGGGGAGGACAGGGCAGAGCGCAGAGCAGAATGGCTGACACCAGTCAGGGACCAAGGTTAACCCTGGGACCACAGAGCCTCGTCCATGGCCTACAGGACCACCAGCGCTGCACAAAAGCGGCCCCCGCCTGTTCCTGCACACTTGGGGCTCCCGTTCTTCCTCGGGCTCCTCTCCCTTCACCTCCCTCTCCCGGGCAGCTGTTCCTCCACCCGCCCCGGGCTGCCACCATCTGTCACAGGTCTGACTCCCCTTCCACGTGGACAGCACTTCAGGAGCAGGGACCCCCTCTCCTTTTCTTTCCTGGCCCTCTGTGTGTACACGGAACTTCTCCAGGGTAAAGGAGGGAAAGGCCGGGCCAACAGATGGCCAAACCCTGCTAGGTGAGGACAACGGGTCAAGACGTACCTTTGAAGTCTAACTCGTATCTGTGCTTTCCAGCCTGGAACTTCAGGACGGCTGCCTGGGCGTCAGAGCCTGAGGCACAGTACGCCAGGTAGGCCTTCTCCAAATCGCTGCTGCTGACAGTGGTCACGGGGTGCTCCATGCCCTACAGGGAAAGCCAGACAGATACTCCATGAAGGCAAGAAGCTACGATGATGAAGAAAGCTGCTGGGTGCAATCCACACCACACTGCAGACATGCCTGCGGTGGGTATCTGTGTCATGGGGGAGGCAGGGAAGCAGGCGTAGAGAAGCCAGGGAAAAGCAGGGAGAGGGAGACACAGAATAGAAGCCAACACAAATGCCTCCTAAAAGCTGCCCAGGAAAATAGTAAATGCAGGTCCTGCAAAGCAGGTAAGTGGACGGCTGCGACAGAAGAAAGCAGCATTCAAATGACTCATAATGGGTGACACAACCATTTGAATGAGGGTGAACGTCAACACTGATATCTTCGATCCACTTGCAGGGATGGACTGAGCATAGCTGCCTCTTCTCTGCCCATTCTTGCACCCAGCACCCTTCAGAGCTTAGTCCCTCTCTGTGCTCTTTCCTGAACCCGCGGAAGCTCTCTATTTTTGCATTACCCATTTTGATCCCATACCTTCTCTCCAATTACCTAGAGGACATCTAAGATTTGGGGATGGACTGAGTTTGAATTTTGGCCCCTCTAAACTTCAGTGATCTCAACAGGACAGGAACAGGAACAAACTTAAGTCACACCCCTAACACGAGACAAGAGTGCCATCCCACCCTCAACAGGCTGGAAGAATCATTAAAATAAGGCCTGCAGAGCACACAGCACAGTGCCTGGAACCAAATGCTAAGGTGCCACAGAAATACTGGGCCGGTTTCTAGATATGCCCGTCTGAAGTCTGAAGAGGAATCTGGTCTGGAGACAGAGGTGCGGAGATCACTTAAGGTGGCCACTAAGGTCAGAAGAACATCAGGCATGGGCTGAACCCTGGGGACCCTCCCCCCAAAATTCATGAAGGGAAGCAGAAAGAAACAGCCCATGAAGGAGACAGAGGAGGAGCAAGGCAGCCAGGAGAGTGAGGAGGGAGTGGGCCAAGGCTGGAAATGCCACCAGATTTGGCACCTGGGCCCTTGACCATTTGCAGTGTCTACAGCACTGTGAGGGCTGTGCCTGGCAGTGTCCCACCTCCTGCGGGCACTCATGAATAGTGACTAGATGAGGGACACCTGGGTGGCTCAGTTGGTTAAGCAACTGCCTTTGGCTCAGGTCATGATCCTGGAGTCGAATCCCCCATTAGGCTCTCTGCTCAGAAGGGAGTCTGCTTCTCCCTCTGACCCTCCCCTTCTTGTGCTCACTCGTGCTCTCTCTCTCTCTCTCTCTCTCTCATTCTCTCTCAAATAAATAAATAAAATATTTTTTTAAAAAAGTGACTAGATGAACAAGTAACAGGAACAGAAGTCAGATCCTGGCAAGGAGGGGAATAAATGAGGGTCTTGCCTTTCAAGTAGAGATGGATGCGTTGTTCAGGTACAAAAGGGTGAGGGCAACAGTAGAGGTTTTATAGCAAGGTAAAGAGGATCACAGGAAAGGGGGAAAAAATGCAAAATGTCAATCGACATGAGAAGCCTGCTGAGAATGATCCAAAGAGGATACAGGTCAGGGTAAGGCATCCTGGAGCCCAACACCTCAGAGATGTCAAGGTCAACATAGGAAAATTCAGTGGGCCAAGAACAGTAAAACCTTTATACCCAAGATTACATTATGAATTGAATTGTGACACTCTGGTTGCCAAAAAAGATAAGCTGAAGTCTTAACCCTAGTACCTCGAAACTTGACCTTATTGGGAAACAGGGTTACTACCCTGTAATTAGTTAAGATGAGATCATGCTAGAATAGGATGGGCTCCTAAACCACACAACCTATGCCCTTATAAGATGACGGTCATGTGCAGACTCAGGGAGAAGGCCGCCGGACAACGAGGCAGAGCCTGGACTGAGGCACCCACAAGCCAGGGAAGCCACCAGAAGCTAGGAAGAGCAGGCATGATTCCTAACAAGTTTCAAAGGGAACATGGCCCTGCTGACACCTTCGTTTTGATTTCCAGCATCCACTGTGAGACAATACATCACTGTTGTTCTAAGCCACCCAGTCTGTGGTTGCCTCAGGAAATTAACATAGGGTGGAGGCAATGTGGACCTGAAATTGGGCTATACATCCTGAACTCAGGCAGAAGAGAACCTAGTTTCCCTGAATCAAAAGAAAATGGTCCTAAACTGTCAATTAGCAGAAAAATAAAGAAATCCACATATGCAGGAACTCCAGCAGTGTGTGGGGAAAAGAAGAGCTAGAATGGACAGGCCACCCTAGGAGAGGATGGTACCAAATGAGACCACACAACCAAAAGCCACTGAGCTCACACACGTGCATCTGTACCCCAGCACTGTGCAATATATGAATGATACCCAAATACAGGTCATTGCCAGAGATGCTCATGTCCTGAATGAGGTTATACACTCCGACTATACTGCAAGAAAGTAGCCGCATAGAAAAGAAAAAGGGAAAACCCTAAGTATGGGTTGTTTGGAGGAGAAAGGCCCCTACTCCCTAAAGTCATGACAATCCAGTATGCAAAGTCACCTAAGGAAAAATACTTTTGCATAAAAATACTTTTGCATAAAAATACTTTTGCTGAGTGGGTGTCACTAGGGTCTAGTGTCATCCCACTCAGCTCCCCAAGAAAGGGGACAAATCACAAAACAAAAGGTGAGAGGTTGTTGCATTAGCTAAGTGTTTCTCACCTGCCATGGGCTCCTCCGTGATGCTACCAGGTAAGCTCCATTCAGGGAGCATAACCAGCCCTTCATTCTCTCCTGCTCCTCCATGCCAGGCACGGCCTCCCGCCTCCTGCTCCTGACCAAACCAAGAGCAATGCTGGGGAGCCTCCTTGAGCAAATCTACATGGCAAGGAAGGTGGAAAAACCCAGGATGCTCAAGAGGGGCAGATAGGTGGGAAAGAGGGCAGACGGAACAGCCACCAAGGAAAGGCTGGCACTTGAGGACGCAGAGGGAAAGCAGATGAAGGCTGAAGTGAGGCCCCTGATGAGCGTGACCACGTCCAACAGGCCGGAGGACAGTAATTACTCTGTCCTTCAGCCAGCCAACGTCTCTGCCCTGAGGACCTGCTAGGTACAGGCTCTATTCTCCACACAGGGGCACATCGGTGGCACAAGAGAGACCAACCTCCCTGTGCTCATGCAGCCCACATTACAGTGTTCCCAGAGAAGAAGACATTCCAGGTGCAGGTAAGAACAAGAAACTCAAGCTTTAATATAGCCTTTTATAACCTGGAAGGGTATAAATGTCTATCAGACCATAATCCCAATATTCATTTTGGAAAGCTATCCACAGAGATGTGGTGACCTCCCTATCCTTGTACCTCTACAAGTGACCAGGGGACTCAATCTGATTCAGCCATGAACATCTTCAAATAATTGACAACAGCAGTTATTAGATTCAGATTCCAAATCAATACCTGAAATGAATCCATTTTCTTACACTTGCCCACATTCTGTGAAGTTGCTGCTACAGAGAAGGCAAAAGGCCACCTTCGAAAAGCCTTCAAGTATACTGTGCAGCTACCCAGACTCTCCTGCACACACAGGCACTTGCTCTGGAGTTACCTGTTCGACAGTTAGAGAGGCATCTCTCTACCCCATTTAACAAAACCAATGAAGAAATGTCATCTCATTATAATCTATAGTCATTCAGTTCTCATGAGGCCAACAGATACCTAAACATTCAAAGACAGAACCTCCTACAAAGGAATGGCTAAGGGGCACCTGGGTGGCTCAGTGGGTTAAAGCCTCTGCTTTTGGCTCAGGTCAGGATCTCAGGGTCCTGGGATCGAGCCCCACATCGGGCTCTCTGCTCAGCAGGGAGCCTGCTTCCTCCTCTCTCTGCCTGCCTCTCTGCCTACTTGTGATCTCTCTGTCAAATAAATAAATCAAATCTTTAAAAAAGAAAAAAAAAAAAAGGAACTGCTAACTAGTTTTGCCCTAATTCCCCCAAAGCAAGTAAGTCATAGGGGGATATGAACATCTTTGGCTTTGTCAAGACTCTCCAGGACAACCCTCACGTTCATGTCTGGGAATAGCAACGCCACCACAGACCCTTGGGGGAAAATACTTGCCCTCTTTCTGTGACACTTACTTGTTGCCCATATTCCTGCCAAGAACCAAACTCATCAGTCCAGTACCAAACCCAGTCAGTGGTGAGGATGAAGTGTGGAGGTTTAGTAACCGAGGAGGCCGTGGAGAGGCGGCGGGCGGGGGCTGCGCCAAACATCATGAACTCAAAGTCTAGACAATCAAAGTGAAAGTTGCTGGCTGACTCAGCACACAGGATCCTGCAAAAGAACATGAGAGAACATGAGATCCATGCAAAAGAACATCCACCAGCCAAGTGAAAACTCAGGTTCCACCTGTGGTCTTCTAGATGCTCAGCTGATAGATGTGAACTTAAATATAACAGTGTCACAAACTAACAGTGTTAGTTTTCCCCCCTCTAACACCGTAGGCGGGGAAAAATGTTCCAAGTGGGAAGAGGGGAGGGCAGTCGGTTCTTATACAAAAAAATAATAATGAAATTAATATTCTCTGAAAATAAAATTAGTCTCTGCAAGACTGATCAAGAAAAAAGGAGAATATTAGAAATACATACAGTAAAAAAAAAAAAGAAAGATGCCATAGACACTAAAAGGGATATTATAAGCAACTTTATAATAATTAGTTTGACAACAAATAAAATGAACAAACTCCTGAAAAATAGGATAAATTTACCAAAATTGACTCAAGAAAAATAGAAAACCTGACTGATCTCTAACAATTATAAGAAACTGGTCAATAGTTTAAAATCTCCCCATAAATTAAACATTACGCCTAGATATTCTTTAGACACATGGTCAATTATTCAGGAAAAAATAATTCTAATTGTACATGAGTTTTTTCAGAGAACAGAAAAAGAAACCATCCCAATCTCATCTTTATGAGGTTAGATATTTCCTAAGATAAAAACCAGATCAAGATAATATGAAAAAATTATAGGCCAATCTCACTCAAACATGGATGCAAAAATCTTAAATTAAGTACTGGCCATCCAAATTCAGCTGTGTGTGTGGGTGTGTGTGTGTGCGTGTGTGAGAAAGAGAGAGAGAGAGAGCGCGAGAGCGAGCGAGAGAGAACTGCATAACTATGACTTAAGCCTAGAAATATGGTGGACTTACCAGAAAATTAATGTCGTTAACTGCATTAACAAATAAGGGAGAACAAAGCATGGGCTCTTGATACAGAAAAAGCACTCAATAAAATTCAATTTTTATACACAATTTTTAAAAAACCTCCCAGAGGTATCTGGGTGGCTCAGCTCATCAAGCCCCATGTGAGGCTCTCTGCCGAGCAGGGAGTCTGGCCCTCCCTTTCCCTGTACACACACTCTCTCTCTCTCTCTCAAATAAATAAAATCTTTTTTTTTAAGATTTTATTTATTTACTTGAGAGAGTGAGAGAGAGAGCATGAGAGGGGAGATGGTCAGAGGGAGAAGCAGACTGCCTGCTGAGCAGGGAGCCCGATGTGGGACTCGATCCCGGGACTCCAGGATCATGACCTGAGCGGAAGGCAGTCACTTAACCAACTGAATCACCCAGGCGCCCCTCAAATAAATAAAATCTTTAAAAAAAAAAACAAAAAACCCTCTTAGCATACTAGGAATAAAATTGGGATTTGTTAGCAAGTCAACGATTCCAAACATTCACTCATGCTTAAGGTGAAACATTTAATAATTACTCCTCTTAAAATCAAGGGAAAAAAGAAGAAAAAATAATATTCCAGCTAATCACCACTTATATTCAGCATGCCACTGGAGGTCCTAGCCACTACAATAAGGCAATAAGGCAATAAGTCAATAAAAAGAAGTAACATGCATAAAAATAAAAAAGGAAGAAATTAAAATGCTATTCACAGGGGTTCTTGGGTGGCTCAGTCAGTTAAGCTTCTGCCTTTGGCTCAGGTCATGATCCCAGGGTGTGGGATGCAACCCCACATTGGACTTCTTGCTCATTGGGGAGTCGGCTTCTCCCTCTCCCTCACCTTCTGCTCCCAACTTGTGTTCACTTTCTCTCAAAGTAAATAAGTAAAATCTTTAAAAAAATAATGCTATTCACAGATACTAACTTCTAGATAGAATACATAGACAACTTGGAATTACAGATAATTCAAATTATCAGTAGAGTCTTCTGAGTTCAGATATTTTAGTAAAGTTGCAAGATGTAATAGTTGACAAAAAAGTCAACTGCATTTCTGTGCATCAGCAGAGAGAAACAAATTTTTTTTTTTTACTGGGGATGCAATGTACAACATGATGGCTACAGTTAACAATGTTTTACGGTATATATATATTTTTTAAGATTTATTTATTTGACAGAGATCACAAGTAGGCAGAGAGGCAGGCAGAGAGAGGGAGAAGCAGACTCCCTGCTGAGCAGAGAGCCCGATGTGGGGCTCGATCCCAGGACCCTGGGATCATGACCTGAGCCGAAGGCAGAGCGTTAACCCACTGAGCCACCCAGGCGCCCCGTTTTGTGGTATATTTAAAAGTTGCTAAAAGGATAAATTCTATAAGTTCTCATCATATCATAAGGGAAAAAATTGTTTTTGTAACTATATGAAGTGAGGGAAATTAACTGAACTTATTGTGGGGGTCGTCATACAATGTATACATCTATCAAGTCCTCATGCTGCCCACCTTACACTTGTACACTGTTGTATGTCAATTTTATCTCAATACAACTGGAAAAAAAAAAGTAATTCTCTAACAAAAGACACCCAAGACCTTAATGGAGAAATTACAGAACTACTGAAAGATATTTTAAAATATTTAAATAAATCAGCTGCTATCATGTATATGAACAGAAACTCTCAGCACCATTAGGATGTCAGTTCTCCTAGGACTGACAATAGTCAATGCAATTTCAATTTCAAAAATTGCAACAGAGATAAACCAGTAAGATTTAGAAATTTCTAAGGAGGAGCAAAAGACCAAGAGCCCAGGGAGCTCAAAGACAGACAAGATGGGAGACTGGCTTATCAGATGCCAACACACACTCTAAAGCTCCACTAGGTAAGACAGTGTGACACACAGACAGACAGACCAATGGAAGAGAAGAGACCAGAAACAGACCTGGGTGTATTTGCTAATTCCGCACCTGTCACAGGTAGCCCTGGAAATACATGGAGAAGAGATGGCCTACTTAAACAAGTGATATTTGGCACATGGGTCTGAAAATAAGCTATAAAAGGTGTTATGAGTTTGCCAAATTTGGCTCAATTTTGACAGTTTTAAAATAACTGCTGGCAATGGATGCTGGGGATGGCCGCACAACAATGTGAATGTAATGCCACCACAGTGTACCCTTAAAGATAGTTAGGATGGCAAATTTTGTTATGTGTATATTATCACAATTTTAATTTTTTTAATAAGTACATTTTTAAAAAGCAATTTTGGCAAAACTGGTTAATTCATCTGTGTAAGAATGAAAGTGGACCCATACTTCACCACCTACAGCAAAAGAGTAAACATAGTCCTTAAAACATCGAGACTTTTTAAAGAAAATTTAGAAACATTTCCTTATGGTCTTGGGATAAGGATTTCTTATGACTCAAAAAGTACAAAACCATAAAGGAAAAGATGGTTAAAAACTTCTCTATATTAAAAAATACCATAAGTTGACAGGAAGAGTTTATTTTCAAAGCACAATTAATATTCAGAAATTTAAAGAGTTCCTAAACTAAACAAAAAACTAAACACACAACCTTCCCCTTCAACAAAACAAGCAAACTACAAGGAATGGCCCCAAAACAGGCAGAGACACTTTCTCTCATTAGGACCTGGAGAGAGGGAAGCCGAGACACCAATTTACATCCCCAGGCTGGGCAAAGTTCAGATGGCAAACAATACCAGACATTAGGGAGACGGTCACCACAGACCGTGGATGGGGGTGGAAAGTGGCAGGATCACTTCGGAAAACAGTTTAGCATCACCTGGCAGAGCTGAAGACGGACCCAGCCTACCCACCCCCACCCGCCCCCCACAGTTTCATCTGCCCCCCAACCCGCGCGCATGTGCACCGGGAGACAGCACACTGTGGCTGAGTCCTGAGAACAGAGCACTGAGAGAAAGGCGCCAGACATGGTGGTAGAGAGGGTAAGTCTCCATTTAGATGGGGTTCAAGACCAGGCGAGACTAATCTGTGGTGACAGATGTCAGAACAATGGTGGCCCACGGGTGGGCACTGACGCAAAGGGGACAGGAGAAGACTTTCTGGGGTGATGCAAATGATCTCTGTTTGGATTAGAGTCTCTGCTACATGAGCGCGTGCATTTGTCAAGACTCAGCGAACTATGCAATTACTATCTGTGCACTTCCCTATGTGTAAATTCTGCCTCAGAAAAAGAGAGAGGGGGGGCACATGTGAGCCAATTCATCTTCCAAAGGGGAACAATTTGTTTCACATACTTTACCAGCAGCAATTTGTGTGTAACTGCACTCTGAGCACAAATTTATTTTTCCCATTTAAAAAGTAGCCCTAAATTCTTTTCTTGGCAACACATTTTAGCAAGTTGAAGCCACAATATGAAAAGTATTTGAAAATAAGCCTCTCTGGGACTTGCCAATTGACTCTGAATTGACTAAGTGAAAATAGTGGGACACATTTAGAAAAATTAAAAAGTTAAAAGCCGAACAATAAACAGCAGTTCAGCTACAGGACTTTACACACAATGGCTAAAATTTCACTAATGAATGCCTCTTGCTCTTCTGCGGTAATCAGTGTGGATATATGTACGCGATCAATCCCAGCAGCAAATGATTCAAAACTTACTTGGTACCAACATCTCCTTTCCCCACAGCTCCTTCCTAAAGGAGAGAAAGGTGGGAAAGCAGAGGACCAAAACACAGTATGAACATTAACTTCTAATTTCCAGCCCAGAGCCTTCACCTCCGGTCCAGGTTGTTTACTTAGGGTGGGAGGGGAAGAGGGTGTATGTGTGTGTGTGCACACACATGTGTGTGTGATACACGCACGCGGTATCAAATCTCAACTCTGCTGAGTCTCAACTCCCCACCCTGCACTCAAAAGCCCAGGCACACAGTGGACACAAGTGACATAATTCATACCTGTCTTTCCTGGGATTGCTATATGCCTCTTCAATAAGCTCCATTTTGTCCAAATCTTTCCACTTGCCTCTGTCCAAGAACTGCCATCGATATGGCAAATGGAAGTGAACTTTATTGCACTTATCTAAAATAAGAATATAAGGAAGTAAGACATCTTGGCAATATATACACAGCATGACCTAGTCCTGTGGTTCTCAATGGGAGTGGTGCTGCCCACTGACCTGGGAACACTTTGGAGAACTGCAGGGGAGTCATTTTTAGAGCAGTCATACCTGAGCACCTCAATACTGAAATGCTGTGTGTTTTATTATACACACTTCCCTTTCATGCTTCCCCTTTTAACAGGACATTATGTCAATTTTTATTAAAAACACATATGTTAGTAGGTTACATCGTGTATGAATTTCATCTCTCCAGTAAAGAAGCTGATAGTGAGAATGCCAATCAGACTGCAGGGGGCAGTCTGACAACCCGTTATCGCTATGCATGTAGCATGTGGACAAGGAGCGGTCATAGCAAAAACAGAGCCAAGTTCATCTCCACTAGAAACCCATCCACACCCTGACACATCTGACCACAGCTAAGTCAGCAGTGTGGCTCCAGCCCACTCTGATCTTCTGGCTGCTAACATACTCACCCCCTCAACACACCCCCACATCTCTGAAGGTGTTTATACACACCACCCTGCCCCTGCCCAAATACACAGAATGGCCCAGCTCTACAGTTCCCAGCCAGCCACTTCCCCCACATCTTCCCTGTGCTCTCTGGGACCTCTGTCACTCTAGCACATCCTGCCTGCCTCGTCAGGAATGCACCCAACACTTTCTCTCTCTACCTTCCAATATTGTATATGAGGTTCTGGTACATCCTCACAGAGGAAAGAAAGACTTGAAAGAAAAGCAGCAGGATGCTCTTTACACTCTGATACGGACCTACATCCAACATATACGCTACTGGGTAGAAAGATACATGACAAGGTGCACATACCTCTATTTGGGTGAAACACAGAAAAGAAAAATTAGAAATACTCCAATTGAATACATATATACACGCATATTTTTCCTTGCTGAGGGGAAGTGGGTCACTAGGGACAAAGCTATGAGGAATGATTCCTGTTGTTTCCTATGTCTTCAGAATTCTGAACCATAAGAATATATTCCAAGAAACTAAATGTCTAGTTAAGTGAAAAAAGATACAAAACAGTGAGCATAGAGCACCTATGTGAGAAGGAAACTGACCAAACATATATGCTTGTACAAGAATAAAATCTTTAGGAAGGACAGCCAAAGAACTGGTAACAATGAATGTTTCTGGAGGGGATCTCGGTGCCAGAAAAAAAAGGTTATGAGAGAAACATTTCTTACTGGCTGTCCTTCATGCATCTTTAATTTATCTTTCAAAACAATGACAATGAAACATGGCTAATTTGAGGGGCACCTGGGTGGCTCAGTGGGTTAAGCCACTGCCTTCGGCTCAGGTCATGATCTCAGAGTCCTGGGATCGAGCCCCGCATCGGGCTCTCTGCTCATCAGGGAGCCTGCTTCCTCCTCTCTCTCTGCCTGCCTCTCTGCCTGCTTGTGATCTCTCTGTCAAATAAATAAATAAAATCTTTAAAAGAAAAAAAAAAGAAAAAAGAAACATGGCTAATTTGACACTGGAAAAAAAAATAAAATTTTCTAAAAGCCTATGTAGGGGCCCCTGGGTGGCTCAGTCTTAAACGTCTGACTCTTGATTTCAGCTCAGGTCATGATCTCAGGGTTGTGAGATCAAGCCCAGGGCTCCATGCCCAGCAGGGCGTATGCTTGAAAGATTCTCTCCCTCTGTCCCTACCCCCGACTTTTGCACATGCACTTTGCTCTCTAAAATAAATAAATAAATCTTTAAAACAAACAAATAATAATAATAACATTGTACACAGCCTTTCAGGCACATTTCAATGCCACTTCTTTCCCACAGACTCTACAAAAGTTACCTTGCAGGGGAAGGACCATAGAGGCAGGTAAGCAGGCTGCCTGGGATTGTCAAAAGCCAGGCCTGAGGCCAGGCAGACAGAACAGACAAGAACACCCAGCCAAGGAGACTCAAACGAGGAAATTCCCCAGTTCACCAAGTCTGGGTTCAGCCACTCTGGGGACTCAGGACATCATGACTTGTCCAGAGTTACAGCATGGACAGCTCACACCAAGCTAAGAGACCTCTTGGACTCTCTACCAGAGTATGTATGTACGATAGAACGATAATGAAGGGCCCAATCTGCATAGATAAGGTCACAGCCATGGTCCAGAGATCATAACCAAATAAGATTTCTTGTTCCCTCCCTGAGGGCACTAAGGAAATGATCAGGGTTAATGATCAATGTTCGGTCACTGCACCTACAGACCCCAGCTCAAGTGAGTGCTGGACAGCCTGAACAAAGACACTCCCCTTAAGAAGGCCCCCTTCAGCCTTTTACGAAGATGGCGCCGAAAGCTAAGAAGGAAGCCCCTGCCCCTCCCAAAGCCGAAGCCAAAGCAAAGGCTTTGAAGGCCAAGAAAGCGGTGCTGAAAGGCGTCCACAGTCACAAAAAAAAGAAGATCCGCACATCACCTACGTTCCGACGACCCAAGACTCTGCGTCTCCGAAGGCAACCCAAATACCCTCGAAAGAGCGCCCCCAGGAGAAACAAGCTTGATCACTATGCCATCATCAAGTTCCCCCTGACTACTGAGTCAGCCATGAAGAAAATAGAAGACAACAACACACTTGTGTTCATTGTGGATGTCAAGGCCAATAAGCACCAGATCAAACAGGCTGTGAAGAAGCTCTATGACATTGATGTAGCCAAGGTCAACACCTTAATCAGGCCTGATGGAGAGAAGAAGGCATACGTTCGGCTGGCCCCTGACTATGATGCTTTGGATGTTGCCAACAAAATTGGGATCATCTAAACTGAGTCCAGCTGGCTAAATCTAAATACAATTTTTTCATGATTAAAAAAAAAAAAAAAAAAGGCCCCCTTCAGGGAAAGCACACCACCCATTACCCTTCAGGCCGACACCTCCTTGCGAGACACAGGGGCCAAAGCAAAGGGCTGTGGTCAAACAGCAGTCCTGGGAACTCCAGTTCTTAATGTGAGCTCAATGTGGAGCCCACATCACTCACAAACCAGAAGGAGCCCAAGAAAAAAAGGTGCCATGCAGGCCACTATAGCCATGGTGGCAGGTGAGGGCAGAGTCTCAGGTGATGAGGCCCCTTGTCTGCCATATCTTTCCTGGTCCTCTTGACCCCTTTCTCAGTTTCCTTTCCCTCCTTCTAATGTTGCCTGTTTTGTTGAGTCTAGAGTCTAGAGTCTAGGCTTTCCGGAAGATGGGCTGCAAAAACCACATCGATTTGGGAGACAAAATACCACATCCATATCCCCTTTCTCCCTACATCACTTTAAATGACAGGCTGGACGGAGCGCCTGGGTGGCTCAGTGGGTTAAGCCTCTGCCTTCAGCTCAGGTCATGATCCCAGGGTCCTGGGATCGAGCCCTGCATCGGGCTCTCTGCTCAGCAGGGAACCTGCTTCCCTTCCTCTCTCTCTGCCTGCCTCTGCCTACTTGCGACCTCTGTCTGTCAAATAAATAAATAAATAAATGACAGGCTGGAGAGAAGAACAAATCCAAAAATGCTGGAAAACAATAAGGAGTGCCATCAAAAAAACCACAGAAGAACACAGAATCAAACTGACAAGAGTTAAAGAGAGAAAAACACAGGTAAAATATGCAGAAGAGAGCTGCTATGGAAATGGGGTCTGGGGTGGGGGTCCTTAACAAACTCAGAGTTACATGTAACAAAAAAGCAAGGACACCTGGCCTTTTTTTTCTGGCACCCAGATCCCCTCCAGAATGAGAGTAACTGGGACCCACCCACTAGAGCAGGCACTCCCTCCACAGCCTGCTTGTGCCCTGCAACCTTATTCTTTGCCCCAAGAAACATGCGAGTGTGGCCAGAGTGCTGGAGAGAGAGAGAAGCCATCAAAGCCCCCACCCCACTCCAAGGATACATCCCAGCAGCCTGCACCACCAAGCAGCTCTTCCCCTTCTAAGCCCGAATCAGAATCGGCATCACCAGCAGACCCCAGGATTCTCAAGGAGACAACCAAGAGTCACCCAACATGTGAGGAAAAATAACACAGATGGGAAGCTAATTCACACACAAAAATCAATACCTAAGGAATAATTATTAGAGTAGACAGATCAAGAGTAACAGCTAGACCTAAATATAAAAGTGAAACCTACAAAACTTCTAGGAAAAAAAAAAAAACACCATAGAGCCATTTTGGGGGGCTTGGAACAGGCAAAGATTTTTAGGACACAAGAAACAAGCTATAAAAGAAAAAGATACTAAAATGGTCATTGATATTGTAACTTTTATTCCTCAAAGGCACCATAAAGAAAATGAATATGAATGATACAGATAGGGAGAATATATTTTAAATACCTCTGTCTGACAACGACTTCTATAAACAATACTCAAAACCCTCACAACTCAATAATGAGAGATCAAACAATCCAATTTAGAAAATGGACAAAATAGTCACAAAACACCACATATTGTATAATTCCATTTACATGAAACATCCAAGCAAATCCATACACACAGGATGTAAACCTGTGGTTGCCAGGAGCTGGAGGAAGGGAGAATGGGCAGAGCACCTCTTTGGGTCTGAAGAAATGTTCTAATATTGACTTGATGATACCTGCATAATTCTGTAACTACACTAAAAAGCATTAAATGGGTGAATTGTATGGAATGTGAATTATACTTAATACCTCAATCAAGCAGTCATATAAAAAAATTAGCAAAAAATTTAACCAGATACTTCACAGAACATATACAAATGGCCAGTAAGTACATGAAAATAAACATTAAACATCATTATCATCAGGGAAAGGTAAATTAAAACCACAATGAGATATCATTACTCATTAATTATAATGGTTAAAGTTTAAAAGACTGACAATACCAAGTGTTAACAAGAACACAGAGCAACGAACTTTCCTACATTGCTTGTGGGAAGGTATACCTACTTCGGAAGACTGTGGCAGTTTCTTATAAAGTTAAACACATACTTACATATTCCAGTAATTCCACATCAAGGCCTTCACTCAAGAGAAGTGAAAACAGATAACCGCATGAAAACTTGTACATATTTATAAAAGATTTATAAAAGCCAAAAACTTGAAACCCCTCAAATGTTCATCAAACATATGAATGGATAAACAAATTGTAGTCAGTCCATGCAACAGAATACTACTTAGCAATAAAAAAGACCAAACTACTGATCTCCCAGCATGGACAAATCACAAAAACATGCTAAGTGAGCAAAGACAGGGACAGAAGAATACATGCTGTATGATTCCATTTATATGAAATTCTAGAAAGGGAAATTCCACAATGACAAAAAGTACATAGGGGCTGCATGAGGTCAGGAAACTAGGCGGTGAGGATTAACTGTAATGGGACAAAGGGACACTTTTAAAATTAAGAAATTCTTCCGTATCTAAATTGTTATTACCAGAACTCAGTGTATACTGAAAAATTCTAAATATTTAAAATTTTACAGTGGGTAAATTATAGCTCAATAATGTTGATTTTAAAAACATACATGTATATGTGACACACATATATGTTTGAGCTAGCATTCTGTTTCCAGGAACTGAGCTATGGAAATACGCATGCGTACTCAGATGCTCAATAGACTATCATTCTCACTGGATACTACAGTTGCTTTTTAAAAATAAGATGCACTGGGGCGCCTGGGTGGCTCAGTGGGTTAAGTCTCTTCCTTCAGCTCAGGTCATGATCTCAGGGTCCTGGGATCGAGCCCCGCATCAGCAGGGAGACTGCTTCCTCCTCTCTCTCTCTCTGCCTGCCTCTCTGCCTACTTGTGATCTCTCTCTCTCTGTGTCAAATAAATAAAGTCTTAAAAAGAAAAATAAAAACAAAAATAAAATGGACTTACATATACTAAGGTGGAAAAAAATCTCCAAGACACAATGTTAAGTAAAGGAAGCATGTTAAGGAATACCTATCACATGTACCCATCCGTTAAAAAATATGCAAAGCAAGCATCATGACCACACAGCACGTGTTTACCTTTGGGGAAGGCTGAAGGAGAACTTCAGAATTTACTCTGTATTATTGGACTCTTTTACAAAGTGAAAGTAGTCCTGAACTGCTTGGGTGGCTTTTAAAGACTGAAAATGAAACAAGAAGTTTGGTGTTTTGTTTTTTTTTTTAAAGAGTCACCAAATTTGAAAAGTAAGCTTTCTTCAGTCAAAGCCCAGGCCAACGATAAGAAGAAAACAAAGGTTTAGTGAAAATACAGACACACATGTACCCACAAGAAGTGCTACTTTTGATAAAAGAGGGACCATGGAGAGAAACCCCCAACTTAAGTTCTTGTTCCCTAAGAGCACACAGAGACATATCCTGAGGGAGGGCCTTCTGGGTTTCTGAGGCATTTCTAAGTCTACAGCAACCCTTTACAAGGGTCACTCATATTTGTTCCCACTATATTGGGCATCTGTGCTGGTCTGTGACCTCATGCTAAGCTGATCAAGGGTCAACACTTGACACTTTCTGCATGGACCAGTTATATTCCCAAAAACTCACCTATAATCTTATTTCCAGAAATTCAATTGTTACCATCCTCAGCTTCCCCAGAAATGCCACCCCAGCTCACAGTTAAGAAGGCCCTAACCCTCTCTGGATGGGGGAAAAGACCTTGAAGGGTGGCCTTAGAGCCGAACTCTTGAAACGAGAAGCAGCTGTCCCGCCTGCAAGTGGATGAAGGGGCTTCCTCTGACCTACCTTGAAAGCTACAACTTTTCCGGATATGGTACAAGCAGATCTGATCGCTCTCCTCTTGGTTAGCAGTGTTTGGGGACACAGAACCTGAGCTATCTCTTCTTTCTACAAAGAAACACCACAAAGACGTATCAGCATCCATCAGAGCTTCTGATATGATGGAGTCAGAGTAGTTCAAGATACAAAGGAGAGAAAAGAAAATTCATTCATTTCTCTGCAGAAGACAAAAGTGGGTGAGGCAATCTCACAAAATCCTATGATGATCAGGATGAACTTACCCTCAGATATGTAAATGGACCCTCTGGCTTTTTAGAGAGGAGCCAGGGAGCCTGAGGCCACACGGCTGCTTGCCAAATCCAGGACACCACCGAGGGGCCCTTTTTTCTCATCTCTGGCTGTGTTCCTAATCTTGAAACCTCCTGAAGTAACTTCACGTCAATTGTAGGAATTTTAATATAAAACAGGCTCAGAGGAGATTTCAAAGTTTACCTTTACTAGTAGTGCTCTAATGAGACTTTACCACTGGTACCCCCACCACCATATAAGTACATAAAATTCTTTCGCAAACCTTCAGTATTCAGTATCACCTGTTATTTTGTTATTCATTTTCCCTTTCCTTTATATAGGTCCCTCAAGACACCCACAGGGTGGGCCTAAAAACCTACACCTTTGCGGTGTTTAAGGACACCACCTTTGCTCTCCAAGGGCAGATAGCCTTCCCTCCCTTCCTAAAGCCAAAATTGAACTGACGCTCATAAAGATCTATTTAAAACAAAACCTATCTACATCTAGCTTCCCACTACTGAAAGAAATTAACCCAAAATAACTGAAGAAAATGTAAAGAAAAAAAAACACATATAGCAAGGACAATTTTTAAATATAAAAAGTCAGGTAAGATCATAGTGTTAAGTTTGTTTGCTGGTAGTCCTAGCACTCACCTGATATTTTAGCAGTGGTCTATTAAAAATCTTAGATAACAGGGTGCCTGGGTGGCTCAGTGGGTTGAGCCGCTGCCTTCAACTCGGGTCATGGTCCCAGGGTCCTAGGATCAAGTCCCACATGGGGATCTCTGCTCAGCAGGGAGACTGCTTCTCCCACGCCCCACCCTCTCTGCCTACTTGTGATCTCTGTCAAATAAATAAAATCTTTAAAAAAAAAATCCTAGATAACCCCTACTAAAGGTCTATTAAAATCCCACAGACAACACATGGTTTGATTATGCATTCTGGTGGGGGGTAAGGGGAGTACTGTGTCCTAGTGTCCAAAGGATAACCTGGGCCCTGGTTATCCTTTGGACACCAAATACAACCCTTCCCTTTCTCAAAGTGCCTAGCACCTGGCAAGCACACAAATTTGTTAACTGAGAGAATGGATAACTAAAACGGCCAGCCAACAGCTGATACTGTGAAATCCAAAGGACCCCAATGTGTCATAACCTCTCTAATGGACTACATTATTTATTTCCCACATAATAAGTGAAGAAATGCTTATTCAATAAGCAATCTCTGCTCAAAATTTCCCCATTTGCCTGTCACTAAACCTGATGTTAAGAAAAAAAATAATGTTCTTTATGTTTCTTGATGTTCTTTAAGAAAAAAAAAAAGTATTCTAGCACACTTGGTCATTCAACAAATGCCTAAGTGCCCACTGTGGGCCAGGCACTGTCTAGGTACTGGAAAGGAGCAATGAACAAAGCAAATTTATGGGGACTAAATAATTCCCTTTATTCATGTCAAAAAGAAAGCTGAAATTAAAATGGGCTTTGTTCCTCTGCCTTTGGCTCAGGTCTTGATCCCAACGTCACGGGATCGAGCCCCACAGCAGGCTCTCTGCTCAGCTGGGAGCCTGCTTCCCTTCCTCTCTCTCTGCCTGCCTCTCTGCCTACTTGTGATCTCTGTCAAATAAATAAAATCTTAAAAAAAAAAAAAAAGATAAAATGGGCTTTGTTCACTGCAGATTAGACCTGTTAGGAATTCATTCACCTTCCACATGAATTGGCATTTATCTAGAATATCTTGCTTGTTTGTGGCTATGATTTCAAGTCATCTTCAAAACACCCACTAGCTGGGAAGGAATCACCAACGGCACTTTACTAAAAGCAGCAGAAACTTGCCTGAGGTCACACATTCCATTAATGTGGAATCCAAGGGCCCCAGTCCAAAGCCTTACCAGAAGTCCCCTGTGGGCCCGGGGTAGGAGGATGCCCTCTGCTGGTGGTGGAGCTCCGATTCTTAATGTCGTGAGCATTTCTGTAAATGGAAGGCAGCCTGCTCACCAGATCTGAGCTCATGCCCAACCTCTCCAGTTTTTCCAGATTCTCAGCATTAGAGATATCATGTGATCTTTTACAGCTAGTGCCAAACTTGCATTCACCCTGTAAAAAATACTGGCAGATATGGAGTTTGATACACTGCTTTTGAAAGGAACAAGAGCCGTAGGGTCCATCTCCTTTGTTATAATGAAGGCAGATCTGTTGACAGAAAAGGAAAAAAACACCAGCTTAGGAAGGCCTCACAGGACACTACCCACACTCCTGACCAGTGCATGGTCACAACAGGTTCCTCTAGAGACCTAGCCAAAGCTGTGATTCCATCATCCTCACAAGCCGCAGAGCTATGAGAACATTCCCCACTCTAGACGGATGGCTGCTAATGGATGCCCTTGAATAAAATGAGAACTGGGTGGACAGCAGATTGTGCAGAATAAGCTCTTCCACTGGGAAAATCCAAAGAACTTCCAACTGATCAGAGCTGCTTCCTTCTCAGGAGACATTTAAGTGTAACTCATATAGCAGCGGGCTAACAACTTATATTCCACTTACAACCTTCCCCCATTGACTCACCAACACTCCCTAAGCCAGGCCTCATTGCACCATCTTCTTTTTCTGAAATTCAGGGTCAAAGAGGCTCTGAGTGTTTAAAGCATCTTGGAGACGGCCAAATACAGCCCTTTCCTTTCTCAAGAGCTAACGGAAACTCAGAGAAGTTCACTGGCTTGCCCTAGGTCACACAGCTATCTACATTTGGTATGTACAATGTATATTGAATTGGGTTGTTGGTAAAGCTGGGACTTGAACTTGAATCAATTGCACCTTCTCTACATTCCAAATTCCTGAAGATTAGAACCAGGCCAAAGAATACCAAGGGTCTACCCAGGCAATTCACAGGCATTACACTGAGCAAGAGCTAGAAATGCAGCTGAGGGCTGTAGAACCCAGACTTAGATCAGTAGGGACTCCACTCAGGTGATGGAAGCCCCAAGGGAAAAGCCAGAAAGAGCTATGCCCTAACCTTGATTTTGCCACTTACAAGATGCCTGACCTTAGGCAGGCCACTCACCAGCTCTGAGTTTCAGCTTTTTAAATCCCTACAATGGGAATACTGCCACCTATAACACTGGGCTAGCACGGGGATTAAATGGGAAACACACAAAGTGGCTAATACAAATGTCTTTGAACATAGCAGATGCTCGATTCATGGCGGCAGTCCCCGACTGCTCATCTGATAAGGGGACCAGACTGCGAGCAGAAGGCCTGGCAGGAAAGCTGCACTGGGTCCAAATTTATGGTCACAGCTCCCAGTTGCTGGCACTGCGTTCTGAAGCAACCTGCATACCCAAGTACACAGGAGGCTACACACTCCGACTGGTCACCTTCCGATTCATTTTTCATACTATTGACAAAACGATCTCTCCAAAACATTAATGCCCACTCTCCAAACATAGGCCCCCTCACCGCAACTCCTTCCCATGATACTGAAGGCTGCATGGATGAGTCTCTACTCACCCATCTCTCCTTCTCCCCTCTCCCACCCTAAATCCATGTTGTGCTGACCTACATATGGTCCCCAACCATGCCAGTTCCATCCTTTCTGTGCCCTTCTTCCCAGACCTTCATCCTTCATGCAACCTTCAGCATTCAGAGCACATACCATCTACCCCAGGATGCCTCCCCAGGTGCCTAAACTGGGCCCCAGAGACCAGAGTGCTGACTTCCACTGCAGCATCTAGAACAGCGTCTTGCAATCCATGCTGACTTATCTGTCTCACCCAGGAAATGGGTCTCCTAGAAGGGCAGAACAGGGTTTTTTCCCTCCTTAGCACCAGTGCCTTACTCATAGTGGAAAGTCAATAAAGGTTAGCTGAATTAAATCAATACTAATTTTCAAAAGGCAAAAGAAAAAAGTTAATACCTATTATGTGCTAATCATCACCAAGCCATGTAGTACCTTTCTCAAATGGGTGGTTTTAGTTAAATAATATGGAAGCATTTTCATTAAAACAGGTCAACCTAATCTGCATAGCCTTACCCCACAAACCTGTGCCGGCCACAGGACACCACTTGGACGTGCTGCACCACGCAATCACCTCAGCTCAGCTGCAGCCCTCGGGAGCCGCCACCTTATTCACACAGAGCCCGTGCTCCCACGAGCTGCTCCCAGGCAACAACGAGCTACTGTAGTTCCGAACTTCCCTTTGGCTAGACAGAAGCTCTCTTGGAACTGCGCTACAGTGAGGGTCTCTCCTACCCCGGCCTCTTCCTTTCCCCAATCCTGCCACATCACTGCCCAAAGGCTCCCCACCTTCTTCTGTTCTGTCTCCACTAAATCTCTTGCACTTCGAATCCCATCTTGGTGTCTGCTTCTCAGAGGACCCAAACTAGTACATAGTCATTGCAGCAAGGTTTGCATGACATCTGAAGTGCATTATGAGACTTTACATCAACTAAAGTTCAAAATTCCCTGCGTGTGACTTAGTAGAGACAATATCATTTCCTCGCAGACCTCCTGGATCTGTCAATAACACATGGTTCCAAGTCCTGCTAGATGGGGAGGAGCTTGCTGGAGTCTCTCATCCCCTCATCCCCATGTAAGGAACATCAATGCGGCAGCCACCGGCCAAACAGACTTTCCCAACCTCAAAGAAGCCCTGCAAAGGTGGTGCCAGCACAAATGCAATAGAAGGAAAGGAGTCTTCTAGACAGGGCAAGGTTGGCCCAAGGTCAGAGGTATAAAAATCAGCAGAGCCAGGAATGTAATCCAGGTCTCCTCCAAGCAGATCCCTGTGGTCACTGTGGGGTCTCTTCTGCTGTAGTATTTCCTATCTTCCAACCTTCTGGCTTCTCCCCCATCACTTACACACATAGACATCCCCTCCTGGGAACTCACCTCTGGCAAAAGCCAGGGGTCATTCTGAAACAAAAGCTGGCAGAGCTCACTGTAGCTGAGGTGGTCAACACCGTGAGTTCTCAGCACACTCAGGTTGTGATCTGTCGTCAAGCTGTGACTGTTTCTACAGTTCTTCCTGCAAAGAAGCAGAGCTGGTGTCACAGTTCAACTGAGCCTCCCCAAAATTCTTATGTTGAAGTTCTAACCCCCCAGTGACCGTATTTGGAGATAGTTTATAAAGAGGTAATCAATGAGGCGCCTGGGTGGTCTCGGTGTCCTGGGGTAGAGCCCCAAGTCAGGTTCCCTGCTCGGTGGGGAGTCTGCTTCTCCCTTTTCCTCTGCCCTTCCCCACTGCTTGTACTCTCTCAAATAAATACAATCACTTTAACAATTTAAAAAATAAAGAGGTAATTAAGTTAAAAAGAGGTTGCTGGGGAGGAGGGCCTAATCCAATCTGACGGAAGTCTTTCTAAGAAGACAAAATGAAGACACAGACGCACACATGTGAGGACAGGAAGAAGACACCATCTGCAAGCCCAGGAGTGAGGCCTCAGAAAGAAATCAATCCTGCCTTGATCTTAGATCTCCAGCCTTGAGAATTGGGAGAAGTTTCTATTTAAGCCCCCAGTCTGTGGTACCTTGCTATGGCTGCCCAAACTCATACAACTCATAAAATCAGTCTTTAAGATAATTTTTCAGGAATAGTTCTTGATATTGTTTAGCAGCACCAGAGAAAAACCAGCATGTTTATACAGTGAAAAACCACAGTGCTTGTTTACAAAGGAAGAGGTAGCACCTTGTGAGTTCTAGGGACCAGGATAGCACCTCCTACCAGTGTCTGGTAAGAAAGACAGAGCCATTCCCCCAAAGAAGAGTCACAGCATGCCAGTCAGTGGGCACATAGCAGACACTTAAACAATGGCTGAATAAATGAGTGTGGACACCTATGGTTAAAGGTATGTGTACACCCACTCATGCCTTGAGGCCCAGCCCTTTTCTCTGCTCCCCTCCTCCATTCTTAACATTCACAAGCCCTTGTTGAACATTCATTGCAAGCCAGACACTGGCACCACACCCTGATGATCCAAAGTCTTCAAATGATCACCCAGGTCACCAGGACCTAGAATAGTCAGGCAGATATCATTAGCTTTACTCAAACACTGCCCAGCCTCTAATGTCATGTTAATAAACACACATTAATTAATAAGTTAATACATTTTTCAAAAGAAAGCCAAACTCCTGATAGACTCCCCCATCTCAGTAAAAGACAACTTCCCTCTTCCACTGCGCACACCAACAACTGTGGAGTCGTGTGGACTCTTCCCCTTTCCTACTCTAGTGAAAGTGACAGAAAACAGAAAGGATTCTAAAATGGCAGGGCACGTGCAAGGTCAGCGGTGCTCAGAAGATATCAGTGCAGATAGGAGGGGCACCTCCTGAGCCTGAGAGAAGTGGAGAAGCAATCAAGGGACACTGCCTGGAAGGTGTCAAGCCTGGGCCAAATATCTGGGTTGCAGAACCAACCAAGGGGAGAAAATTAAAACATTCTAGGCAAACTTGATGCCACCAAGATGATGAAGATGATGATGGTGACGACAGCTGCTAAAACTTGCTGAGCATCTATCACAAGCCAGGGATTACGGGAAGGTTTTATAAGTCATTCAGTCCCCAACAAGCCCATGAGATGGGTGATATTATCCTAACTTTGCAGATGAGGGAACTGAGGCTCGGGTATAAAGTCACTTGCCCAAGATCATGGAACTAGTAAGGAGCAGAGCGAGGGCTGAAACAAGGTAGTCTTGTCTTGGGGCTGTGCTCTTAAGCAACATGCTCCCTGCCCCTAAGCACAGGATGGAAGTCAGGGACCTGGGACCCTCCCCAGCTGTCATCAATGATCAAAAACAAAAGCCATGATCTGTTTCTGAAAAAGCTGATCCTGTGGTTCAGGAAGACAAAGCACAGTAATAGGGAAAGCATCAAAAGGGCAGCCAACCACCCCCACTCTCCCTTATGTGACCCTAAAGCGGTCAGGGAAGGAAAGTCTAAGAAACCGTCCTGTGTGAACCACAAGGAAAATGGAACCAAGAAGATTGAGAAAGAAAGCTCAGAATCATCTACGCCAGTAGATATCAGACTTCCAGATTTCCAGGACAAATACAATCCGCCCCCAAATTTTGGGAACTAGCTGGAGAACAGGGCTGCTGTCTTTATTTTACCAAATACAGACATTAACAAGATCCACCAGTTAGAAATCATTCAATCCATCTAGCCACCATTTATCATGTCCACCTTCTTCTCCAGCTGCTGCTCATTCTCCCTTGAGGTGACACTTCTCTGCCAGTTCTTGAGGGCCCAGTCTCCCTGAGGTCCCACCCTCAGCCTCCACCTCAGCTCTGACTTGCTCCTAGGGTCGGCATACACCAACCAATTAACTCCCAAACCTGCACTTGGGACCCTGGCCGGCCTCCCAGGCTTCAGACTTGGCTGTCCCTGAGCACACCTCTCCTGCTCTCTCAGCCAATAAGAAAGAAAAGGAAGAATCAGCCTTCAGTCGAGAAGAACAATAATAATTAAAAAAAAAAAAACAAAAAAAAAAAAACGAGTCATCTCTCAGTCAACAGTAAGAAAAGAGCCACCACCTCTCTCCCATCCTGTCACCACAGTCACACCAAGTTCCCCTCTCTCAAATCTCTCACATACACATCGCTCACACTTAAGGCCTTAGCTAGGCCCTGGAATATTCTAATCTAGCTATTTCTCAGCAGCTGCTGGGAGGGGGGGGCGCATATTCCACTCCCAGCGCCCCCTGCATCTAGGCATGGGGGTGGACGGTCAGGAGACATCTTGTGGTCCAGGGGATGTGGGAAGGTAACTATCACGTCCAGACCCACCAACCCTCCACTGTCTGTCTTGTCCACCTGCTCCTGCAACCAGATACCCAGAGTGGCCAGAATGAGACTCCCGGAGGCGGAGTCTAGGTCCGCAGGCCGCCGGCCGCCGTCCCTGAATGACTGCGTGGATCATGCCCCTACCTCATGCGGACCAGTGCACCTGCTGTGAGCAAGAAATAACATCTACCGTGTTAAGTCCGGGGGGGGGGGGGAAGGAGGGAAGAGAGGGAAGGAGGAAAGGAAGGAAGAATGGAAGGAAAAGAGAGAAAAAGGAAGGAAGGGAGGGAGGAGAGGGGGAAAAAAGGAAAGAAAAAAGGAGCCAATTCTTCTACACCAGCGGACTAGCTTCCGGACAGGAGCACACATTTTCTTCCAAATGCGACAGAAGCCACCGCCACCCTGTAAGCAAGTGAACAAGAGCTGAGACGGGTTTTCGACTCCTGCGGCCGCTGGGCGGTGAGCCCCGGGCTGCGTGGCCCTCAAAGCTCGCTCTGGAGAGCGGGGCCTCGTGGAGCTCCAAAGCCAGACGCGGCCGCTTTCCTTCGGGAGAGCCCCCAGCCCCGTCGCCCCCCGGGGTGTGCCACCCGGCACCGCGCTCCAAGTCACCCTCTGAGGCTGCAGGAGCCTCGGCGCCACCGTCCAGCCCGAGTCCCTCACAGGGCGCCCGGTATTCAGGAGGTGCTCAATAAACGTTCGCTGACGAGAATTGAGGCGGGGAGGCCGGGGAACGGCCACCGACGGCGTCCCCACACTTTAACGGGGCCCCAAGTGGGCTGGGAGGGCAGGGCCCCTGGTCCCGGGCCCGCCGTCGGGCTCCCGGAGCGGCGCTTACCCGGCCCTCGTGAACTTGCAGGCCCCGTAGACCAAGAACTTGCAGAGGTGCAGCTGCGCGCACAGCCCGACGCAGCCCGGCTTGGGGCTCGGGTGCGCGCGGCACAGGCGCAGCGCCGAGACGGCCAGCACGACGCGCTTGGTGGCCAGCACGCCGTCCGCGCCCGCCCGCGTCGCCACCGCGAAGCGGCCGCGCTCCCGCAGCAGGCGCTCCAGCGCGTCGGCGCCGACGCCCTCCCGCAAGCGGCGCCGCAGCTCCTCCAGCTCCAAGGCGCCCCCGGCCGCGCACAGCACCTGGGTCACCTCGCCGAGGGCGGCGGCCTGGGTCATGGTCGCGGCGGCGGGGGCGTGCTGCCCGTCGGAGAGCGCCTGGCGGGACCCCGGCGGCGGCGGCGGCCGACGCGGGCTGGGCGGGCGGCTCCCGCGGGGTGCGGACGCCAGCTGGAAGCGAAAGCGAAAGCTCCCCGGGGCCCGGGAAAATGAAACCTGCGCCGCCTCACCACGCCCCCCGGCCCGCAGCTGAGGGGGCTCGGCGGCGCCTTCCGGCCTCAGGGCCCCCAGTTGTGCGCGGCCGCCGGGCCCCGTGGCCGGCTCCTCCGCTCCGTCGGCAGCCGGGGACCCGAAGAGTGGGTCTCCGGAGCTTGACAGACACGAACAGGCACGTCCTTCGGGGCAGCGCCTCGCGGCTCTCGAAGCGTCTTCACCTAGTGGCCGGGGGCGGAGACGCCCGGGCCGTGCGCAGCTCCCGCCGAAGCCCCGGGCGTTCGGAAATCGCGCGTCCGCCAGACCCCGGGACCTCTCCCGCCCGCGCGCTGGCGGAGCCGGCCGGGGCTTCCCCCACATCTGGGACCGAGCCGGGCCGTCCCGACGGCTCCCGTCGACGCGAGGAGGGGGGTGCGGGGGCCACGGGCCGAGTCACCTCCCCCCACACACTCGCGCACGTGACGGCAGTCACTCCGAATTGCCCGCGGGACTTCAGGCTACTTTTTCTCTTCAGGGCTTTGAAGCTTAAAAGGGTCTGTCTCCCCTAGAAAGCATATCCGTTTCTCCTCAGAGAATGGAGTGACCAAGTGTTTAAGGAGCATTCGGAGCCTAGGCACACACTCGGGTTGTTGACAGAAATGTGAACTGTTTAGAGAGCCCTTTGGGAAAGGAGTCCGGGAATCGCTATGAAAATTTATAAATGCGCATGACCTTTGACCCAGCGGTTTGTCTTCTGGGAATCTTCTAGAAGTAAAAGCAACATGGATGAGTTACGGAAGAAAATGTTTATGTGGGGGGAGGCATGGTGCTGGGAGCAACGTGGTTGGTCCTTTCCCGGACTGTCACACAGCTTTAACAAGCATGACCTAGAAGGACGTCCCTGACGCGTTAAGGGAAAAAAGAAAACGGTATAGAAACGTCTAAATCAGTAGCAAAAAGAGCATCTATTTCTGTGGGAAAGTGGCTATTTTTGAATGAACAAGGAGAAGGCTGAGGAGGACACACACTGTGCCAAAATTTGCATTAACACTGGCTGTGAGGAGTATGTAGTAAGAGGTACTAGGAAGTGGAGAAAGGATGAGGGGCAGAAAGAAAATTGAGGTTATGATGTTAAAATTCTATATGTTACTATAAAAACGTAAAAATCTGTTTAGTAACCTACAAATGAATTAGGGAATGGGATGAGGGGCAATTTTCTCTTGGCTTTTGATTGTGGATTTTTAAAAATTGTGTAAAAGAATTTTCTTAAGATTTTATTTATTTCAGACATTGATGGAGAGAAGGATGGTGGGGGAGGGGCGGGGGAGAGGGAGAAGCAGGCTCCGCTGCCGAGCAGGGAGGCTGACAACAACAAAACAACAGGGGTTTCAATTCCAGGATCCCAGAATCATGACCTGAGGTGAAGGCAGCTACTTAGCTGACTGAGCAACCCAGGTGCCCCACAAAATTGTATAAAAGTTTTTTCTCAAAAATTTAATTTTTAATTTAAATTTTTAATTGTGGTTTTGATATTGTTTTGCAGTATAGTATTTCTTAAGAAAGGAAGGTTGACATCAGTGGAAAATGGAGTAAGGACCTCAGAAAGTTTGCACATCAGTGGCAGTGTGGCAGCAGTGAAAAACTGGCAAAAATGGTTGGAATCTGTTGTTTTCAGATATCTGGAAATTAAAGTCTTGCAGCAATTCATTTACCATTGAGTCAAGAAAAACAGCTGAATCTAAGTGAAAACATCAAGCTTTGTAGCATTTTAACTTACCCTGGTCCTACCTCCTCCATCTCCCTGGCAACCTTGAAAACTAACCACCCATGCTCCTGGTACCAGTACCAGAGAGGGCAGAACAGGGCCGTAGCTTTTTCAAAAATGCATCTTGTGACTTGTCTACTGGTTCCCTGGAAGGCCCTCCTGAAAAGGCTTGTATTTGTTTGTCCTCACGGGAACTAGCCCAGTCCCAATGGCTTCTCCCCAGGGGTGGTTCAATGTTTTAACATCACAGAATGGGGGACTGACACAATGGATAACAGTTGAGGCAAACAATAGACTAACCAAAAGCTTAAAGGAAGAGCTGAAGGATGAGATGTCCGCTGGGGCTTTGAAAAGCTCCAACAGATTTCTAGGAATCTAGAAGTTTGCATGCACGCCTCACTAAGTGCTTCTCCCAGCAGTCACAATAAATGTTCTTGCCCACATTTTCCCCACTCGCTCTGCCTCCTGGCCTGTGTTAGTGCTTCCCTGTGCGGCCCTGCAAGGTGTGCTGGCCTGCTGTTACTAGGGAAAACATCTTCCTTCATAATGGACATTTCCACGCATACATGTCTTACCACACCTGATTAAAACAAATCCCTTTTAGGGCGCCTGGGTGGCTCAGTGGGTTAAGCCTCTGCCTTCGGATCGGGATCATGATCCCAGGGTCCTGGGATCGAGTCCCGCGTTGGGCTCTCTGCTCAGCAGGGAGCCTGCTTCCCTCTCTCTCTCTGCCTGCCTCTCTGTCTACTTGTGATCTTTCTCTGTCAAATAAATAAATAAAATCTTTAAAAATAAATAAATAAAAAATAAAACAAATCCCTTTTAAAACCCAGGTCATGAAGGGTTTTAAGACAGAAGAAGAATGACAGGATTCTTATTAGACATCCAAGAGGAAATGCCCAGCCTGCGCTTGAACCTGTGAGTCTGGCACTTGTAGAAGAGGTCAGAAGTAGGGCTGTGAACACAGGGATGGTTAAACCCACAGGACTAATAAGATCACCCACAAAGAGTATAAACCGAGAAGAGAATTGCAAGGATCTGCCCCTCTGATGAAGAAGACTGATAGAGCTGAGAAGGCTGAGAGGGAGCGGCCACTGAGGGAGGAGGAAAACTAGAATTAGGGAATCATGAAAGTCAAATATTTAAATATTTCACGAAAGAATGATCAACTACATTGAGTGCCATCAAGACTGAGTGAAAGAGGGTAGAGAAATGTGTTACTTATTGCTGTGCAACAAACCCCCCCAAAACTTGGTGGCTGAAAACGAGGGTTCGTTTTTCATGGTTCTGTGAGTTGACTGAGCGCAGTTGGGTAGTTCTGCCTTACACAGCATAACTAGTCATTCCTGGGGCTGCATCCAGCTGGGAGCTCAGCTGGGGCTAGAACATCCAAGATAGCCCTCATCCCCCAGGGTCTCTGTGGCTGCTTGTCACTTGGTAGTCTGTCCTGAGCTTCACAGTATGGTGGGTGGCAGAATGGTTAAGAACAAAGACTGGCGGGGGTTGAAGCATGAATGGGCATGAGAACATGGAAACAGCCAATGGAGATAGTATCTGCTAGAAGTTTTACTGTAAAAGGAAACAGAGGAGGTGGTGGTTAACAACTGACCTTCCCAGAGGGAGGAGGGGTATGTGGGGTCCAAAAAGCTTTTTGTCCATATTCTGTTCTAAGACGAGGTAATCATAGGTAATGCATAGCTTCCTTCTGTATAACTTACCCAGTACGGAGATCGTTGATGTTATGTGAATCATTGGTTGGGGCTGGGAGAGGGTCAGGTTGAGGACAGCATCCTAGAAGAACCTGGCTTGGGCAACTGAAGTTTGGTGAGGCCGTTCACCGAGAAGCCCACTTTCGACTGAACGTGGGATTTGGGATCTGATACGGAAGTGTAAGGTGTCCACCAGGTGGAGTTGATCTGGAGTTTAGGAACCAAGCCTGGAGCTTGTGTTCTGTTGGTCCTGTTCGAGACCAGGCTCCTCTCTCTGCCGAGGAATCTTTAGAGCGCAAAGTCTCTACTAGGTTCAGTATACTTACATGTTAGTCCGTGGCCAAGCCAGTGGCGTCGCAATTGGTCTTCCAAGATGAGCCCGGCTGAGACCCAGAGCAACTTCCTTTCTGACCATCACACCGCCCAGAATAAAGCGGAGCCACAGCACCCGTGAAGCATTCTGGTTCAAAGCTCTGAAAATACCGCTCTGTGGAATCAAGTAACTTTGGGCAAGCTCGTTTTCCTCTCCTTTTTATAGAAAAAAATTCTTTCATAATTTGGTACCACCCAATTAGTTTTGTAGTTTTACATATTAACCATTACTTAAAACCACTGCTGTATTTTCAGAGCAAGGTACACCTGTATAAACTGATGTTTACAAAGCAATTACAATAAAATTTGAGTTTTAGGTTCTATGTGAGCTATATAATCTGTTTATCTCATTAAAGAAAAATCTATTCTGTCTTCTTTTTCTTACTGTAAAGAAACTTGAAACATCATTTTTTATAATACCACATTGGTCAGTTTCCATGGTTCTATTTTATTTATTGAGAGAGTGAGCATGCCAGTGTATGAGCAGGGCGAGGGGCACAGGGAATGGGAGAGAGAATCTCGGGCAGACTCCATGTTGTGTACAGAGCCCGACTTGGACTCAGTCTCACAACCCTAAGATCATGAACTGAGCCAAAATCAAGAGTCAGATGCTTAACCAACTGAACCACCCAGGTGCCCCTCCAGAGTTCTTTTTTTTTTTTTTTAAATATTTTATTTATTTATTTGACAGAAAGAGAGAGATCACAAGTAGGCAGAGAGGCAGGCAGAGAGAGAGGGGGAAGCAGGCTCCCCGCTGAGCAGATAGCCCAATGCGGGGCTCGATCCCAGGACCCTGAGACCATGACCTGAGCCAAAGGCAGCGGCTTAACCCACTGAGCCACCCAGGCGCCCACGCCTCCAGAGTTCTTACTAGTTGAAGCAGAATTCTACAGTTGTATAAAGTTCTTTTCTCATTGTTCCACATTTTTCTTTTATCCTACATCCTCCACCCCCTCCCATCTAATCCCACTGCTAGAGATCGAGGGAGAGAATCATGGTAATAAGGACTGTGTTTGTCTATGTGTTTATTCAGTGTA